CTATAATCCTCCCAATAACTCTCAAACTTCTCAAGCATAACTGCTGCCATGGGTGCAAGTTTAGGGTCTTTAAAGGCTTGAGTAATAGCGTACTCAATTTTTAAAACACTAACAAAATACAAATTAGAAGTGGGATATTCAGTACCAGAAAATAACACAGTTATATCATTAAATGGCTGAAGGAAATCACAAATTTTTTGAATGGTATCCCATTCATCAGCATCAAGTCTATAAGAAATACCCAAAAACCTACTAGTATATAGAATCAAGGCATCCTTAGCTTCTAAGGCTTTTCGGAGCATTGTATAAGTGGTATTCCAACGAGTCACAACATCAAGACATAACTTGCCATTAAAAGCAGATTCTAACTCAGACAAAGCATTCTCAAATTGAGTTAATCTAGAATCAGAAGCATCAATATATTTAACAACCTCACGCAATTTTTCAACACTTTCATGAACTTCTTTTAAACCTCTTTGAACAATAAGATTTAAAACATGAGCTGAACATCGAACATGAACGAATTTCCCATTACAAGGAAGAGGAGAGCATTGCATTAATTCTTTTTTCAAATATTCAACCATAACATCCATAGAACGAGCATTATCAACGGTCATTGAAAAAGCCTTACCTTGAAGGTTCCACTCTTTAATCAGTTTAAACACAAACTTTCCAACCTCAACACCAGTATGGGGAGGGCCACAATATCTAAAATTTAAAATTTTAGACCTAAGAGACCAACTGTTATCAACATAATGAGCAGTCAAAGTGAGATAGCCTCGGTTAGTACATGCAGTCCACAAGTCACATGTAAAGCTAACACTACCAGAAACATTAGCCAAAGACTCATGCAACAAGGATTTATATTTATCATGCTCAGCAATAACATACTTTAACATAGTTTTTCTACAAACATGCTGCACCTTAGGATTCAAATATGCATGAAGTTCCCTAAGGTATTCATGCTCTACAATATTTAAAGGATATGCATGGCAGATTATAGCTTTAGCAAACTTTTGTAAATAAGTTTTTTGATCAAATTGTGATTCGTTACCGGACTGGAGACCATGCTTTTCCAAACATGCATTAATATGAGCTCTACAAGTTGAAGTACCCGCTTTACCAGGTGCTTTATATTCTTTGCCACACAAATTACAACGAGCATAATCTACCTTTTCATTACCTATCGTCTTTACAAAAAAAGTGTAATGCTTCCATATACCTGCGGTTCTTTGACGTTTATTAACAGAAGGATTGATAGTGCCGGTATTACTAGCATCATCAAGCGGGACAGAGGCAGCTTGAGAGCTAACAGTATCAAAATTTGATTGCCTCTCATAGTCAAATTCATCATACTCGCGAGACATGACTGAAACAAAAAAAAAACAACATTTATAAGTACCAAATTAAGTGACAGATTCTACTAATAGTGAGCAATTAAGCATGCATTGTCTCATGTGACTGACATATGTGTACATTTTAAGTACTAACTTTAAGCCAATCATACAAGTATACATTTTAAGTACATACAAGTATACTAACTTTATGTACTAACTTTAAGCCAATCAGACAAGTATACATTTCACTGGACTTTCCTGAGGTAATGGTAACAAACTAATAGAGGCCTCAGACAAACTAGGCCCATTTAATAAATGTTGGACTTAGGCAGAATGTACAAAGTATGACATTAGGCACAAATGCACAATTATTTTATAGTCCATTACTTGGAGTTTAGTTTCCAAAAAAAAAAAAAAAAAAACACACACACACACACACAAAAACTAAATTTGAACAAAAAAAAAAATCCTCATATCATACTTCCCACAAACAATTCTTGGATTAAATTGGGATTTGGGACATAAATACACAACATAACACTAACTAAAACTACATGTTACATTGAATTGTAATATATGTTTTTTTTTATACAAGTATCATATAGTATAAACCATAAAAACCCCCATCAAATTCATATACTCAACATCATGATCATATACACAAAAATAAAATTTCACAAAAAAAAAAGCACAAAATAACGAAATATACATTGCAGAACAATTAATGAACAAAAGATCGAAACTTAGAATAAGAATAAAAAAAATACCTTATACCGTGAGTAGAATATGACAGATCTACAAAAAAAAAAAGAAAAAAAAAATTAAAACTTCAAAAAAAAAAAAAAGCACAAATTAATTAATTATACATAGCAAAAGAAAAAAGAAAAAATACCTTATACGGTTATACACTTATACCGTGAGTATAATATGACAGATCTACAAAAAAAAGAAAAAAAAAATTAAAACTTCAAAAAAAAAGCACAAATTAATTAATTATACATAGCAAAAGAAAAAAAAGAAAAAATACCTTATACGGTTATACCGTGAGTCCGTGAGTAACTGAGTATAGTATGACAGATCTACAAAAAAAAAATAAGAAAAAAAAAGATAAAACTTCAAAAAAAAAAAGCACAAATTAATTAATTATACATAGCAAAAGAAAAAATACCTTATACGGTTATACCGTGAGTATAGTATGACAGGTCTACAAAAACAAAAAAAAGAAAAAAAAAATTAAATCTTCAAAACAAAAAAAAGCACAAATTAATTAATTATACATTGCAAAAGAAAAAAGAAAAACTACCTTATACCGTGAAGGAATAAGACAGATCTACACAAAAAAAAAAAAAAAAAAAAAAAAAAAAAAATTAAAACTTCAAATAAAAAAGAACAAATTAATCAATTACATAAATTGCAAAAGAAAACAGAAAAAATACCTTACCGTTCGCCAATAAGGAGATTCAGATGCAGAGAGATGATGAAGAGGGAGATTCAGAGGTGTGAGAAAGTTAGGAGATTCAGAGGCGTTAGGAGAGAGAGAGATGGAGAGGAGCAAGTTAGGAGAGAGAGAGAGTCGTTTAGATTATGATGAAATGATCAAATGAGGCGTGCTACTGCTGTTGTTAGGTTTAGGTTAGGTTAAAACTTCTTCCCCTAATCTAACCGTCCATTTCCAATCTCAATATCTCACCGTTCATTTCAATTTTTTTTTTTGGTAGTAATTAAGGATCTAGAATCTTCATACATCCAACGGTCTTGTTTTGTTTTGTTCTTTTCGAGGTCTTTTTAACCGTTTATTATTATTTTATTTAATTTTTTTTTTTTTTATACTACCGTTCATTTTTTTAAACATATTAAATATTGTTGTTAATTATTTATTTTTATTATTATTATTTTGAATTTTTGACTTTTGAGGTTTTATTATTATTATTATTATTATTTTTATTATTATTGTTATTAATAATGTTATTTTTATTAATATTGTTATTTTTATTATTATTGTTATTATTATTATTATTGTTAGTATAATTTTTTGTTAATATTATTATTATTACAATACTACTACTATTAATCTATTATTACTGTAAGTAATTTATTACTTATAAATTGTAAGAAACGCAAATGTTTCAAAATTGAAATTGATTCATTACGAGTTTACGACATAGTTAATGTACATCAATATCTATCATCTCTATATGTATATAATTAATCAACTATATATTAATATATATGATCGGTTTAGGGTTTAGGGTTTTAAGTTTTTTGGGTGGTTAGATTTTACATCATGCATCAAATCATCCTAATGTAGTAAGTTTTTTTGGGTCCGATGTCTGAATGAGTTTAGTTTAGAGCATTACAAAAGATTTCGACAATGAACGAATGATTTTTTGTACAGATGTTGTTATCTTTCATGTTTAACCGTTAACTAAACAATAGCCGAAACTATTCTCAATGTACGTAGCATGTCTGTTGCCATGAAAAATATATTTAATTTGATATTGATCCGACCATACTAGCTAGTTTGCTATTATATACATTTAATTTGGCAATACTGTTAGTAGATTTGATATACCGCACGCTATCAAGTTGACTGTGAATAGAATCTAAATTATCTAATGTATGTCATTGTGGTTCGACCTACTTGATCAAACTCATAATTAAACTGAACATCCTCTTTAAGTTTAACCGGTAAACATAAATCATTATATATGTGAGTCTGTGACATTAAATGTAATAAACTAATTAATAAGACTAGTAACTAATAAGTAATAAACTAATAACTAATAAAGTAATGAAATCTAACCATTGTTTTTCATGGGCATTCAATTTAATTGTTATGTATTTGACTATTTGTACATTAGTATTGCATAATGATTTCATCACCACTTTAGTGATTTTGTGATTACGTCCATTTAACTTATCAAGTTGTTTGAGTTAGTAATCTAAATAAAGTAACAAACTAAATAAGTAAATAACTAATCCATTTAATCTCGTTTAACTTATAAATTATAAGAAATGCAAAGTTTGGAAATTGAAATTGATTCAATACGACATTGTTAATGTATATCAGTATATGTATTATGTATATGAGTATATCATATGGTACGAATGTACGATTGGTATCATACTATCATTGTCTCGTTGGTATCATGGTATGTACGTATAACGGTATAAACCGTATAATCGATAAACATATATGATTATTAAAACTTAAAAGTTTAAAACACTTGTTGATCGATCTAATTGAATACTTGTACATTCTTAATTATCAATTTATCGTATTCTAAGTATCAACTCATTAAATCATGGTCATGACGCGATCTTTAAAACAATCATGAATTCATGACCCAGACCGCTTATAAACCGAACCGGCATGATCCAAACCGTTCATAAACCGAACCAATTGGATTGTGTAAACCCACCACTAAACCGGCCCATTTCAAACTGAACCGACATGATTCGCACCGTTTATAAACCAAGCCGATATTGACCTGGGTAAACCCGCCCCTAAACCGACCCATTTCAAACCAAACCGGTTTGATCCAAACCGTTTGTAAACCGAACTGACATTGACCCGGGTAAACCCGCCGCCTAAACCGACCCGTATCAAACCGAACCGACATGATCCGAATCGTTTATAAACCGATCCGCTTATGACCCAAACCGAATTTAAACCGCAAAGAAATAAACCGAAACCAAACCGAGCCGTGACTAACCCAAACCGAACCAAACCGATCCGACAGCTAAACTAAACCGTTTCAATCCGAACCGCTCCAAACCGAAACCGACTCAAACCGAGGTCAAACCGAACCGCCAGACCGAAGTCCCACCCCTAACGACATCATATAATATGAATTATGATCGATAAATAACACCACTAAACAAAATTATAGGCTTAACTTGCTGGGTTGATCAGCGGCTTTAAGCGTCTTATCAATAAGTTGACGAGCCTTTCTACTGCGAATTTCCACCTTAACACTCGCACTTTTATCCATCTTCAAGTAAGGCTTCTTTGACTTCTTCCTCTTCTTCAATGCATTCACCTTCGATTTTATCGTCTCCATTAGATTTCCCAACTGGTTCGCCATTTCTTTCCTCGAATTCCTCACTTTCTCTCTCTAAAAATTTACGACAGTCGTTATGACTTTTTTGGTTAGTGATAGTGTGGATATACAAGTGAGTTTAGACTTGTAACGGAACTATATATATCCTTTCATGTATGAATTTTGTATAATCGTGTGTTACTTTTTATGTATTTGTTAATACAACTTTGACTAACTTTGAGACTTTTCTTAATATTTTTTTATTTCTTACATTGGTCTTAATTATTAGGGGATTAAAAATATTGTATTGGAAGATAATTAGCTCTGAATAAATATATGTTGAATTGTTGATACGTCGACATTAATGGCGGTCAAAATACTCTACACGTTATAATGGTCGTGGACTTTTGTGGGTTGGAACTGAGGACGTTGTCAACTAGGGAACCATGGATCATCATCATACTCTCTATAATATATACTACGTATTATATAATCGAATTTTATTTTATTTTTGTATTTTTTTTTTTGTATTTTTTTTTTTTGTATTTTTTTTTTATATATATATCTATATATAATTAAAATAGTCTAATTGGCTATCCAACAACGGGCAGATACTAAATGAGTCCACACTATGGAAATATTAATTGCATTCTTGCATATATTCCGTACTTTATATGTTTTGAAAAAGTTATTTGTACTCCCTTTCAAAGAGAGTTACGTTAATTGTAGGAAGTATGGGTAGTTTGACCTTTGTAACACATTTTACCCACTGTCAAAAAAAAAAAAAAAAAAAAGAGAGAGAGAGAGTTACGTTACTATTGCAATAATATTATTTTATAACGACAATCTAATAAATAAAATGAGATATCATAAATAGTAAATTTTAAGCATAATTATTATTCATCATGTAATAATCCGGGGCATTTGGAACTAGTCCAAGAACAAAATTTCAAATTACAACTTTATAGTTATCTTGACTTTAAACCTGTGTTTTTTCTAGCATATGATTCTTATATAATCAATGCAATTGTCCAATCCATAAGTCTAGTCAATTTGACTTGTACAAACCTTTTATTTTTCAACGAAATACTACGTTAATAATATCGTTTATAAGAATACATTGCAGAACTAAATATAGATAAGACGAGTTTACATAGAAATATTGACAAAATATATAGACATTAACTTCAAAGGTTTAACATACATAGTGGACAACCGGAGAGTGTACAGATCGAACAACAAGCCTTCCATTCTCTTCATTTTTTTCCAATCTATGCATATACTTGTACATTGGATGCCTGGATCGGAAACGCCATTTAAGTCACTTGGATATATATTTCCGAGTGCATGAAATAATTTACGACTTAAGTAAATACTATATCAGGAAATGGTGCTTTCGCCAGGGCTGCTATCGGCCTTTTCTAGTGTCTTATCGATGTGTTTTCGAGCTTTCTTAGTCCGAAATGCCACCTTAACACTAGCACTCTTTTCCATCTTGATGTAATTACGATTGTAATTCCTCTTTTTCTTCAATGACAAAGGTGACTTCATCTTCTTGAGGGCTTTTACCTTAGACTTTATTACTCCCACAAAGCTGTCCAATTGATTTCCCATAATATACATATACCTTTTTTTTTGGGTAGTATCTTATTATAGTTGTAAGGATAAAGTAAGAAATTGAAGAGGCATGAACTATTTTAGAGAAACTACATGTAATTGCAATTAGCATTAATTTTGAGGAGTTATTAACAGTTTAACACGTAATTTTGAAAGGGGTTATGGTGTGAAGTGTGAACCAATTGTTCTCGTTACTTCTACTCCACTATTTCAAGAATATTTTTTTTTTATAGCTTCTTGGTGAATTACTTTGCTTAGCTTAGCTTCTAAGATTAAGAGATGTTCATTCTTGTTAGAAATTGATTAGAAAAGAAACAACGGATGCATGCAAGTGTTTAATAATAGAGGATTACTATTGATAATCAAAATAAAAACTGGTTACATTCAAAATAAGCATAAATAGAGGGCTACCATTGATAAAAGGTTTTAAATTAGTATACCTTAGATTGAAAATGGAAATATTTTCGGCCATTAGTTGTGATTATTTCCTTAATTGAAGTTAGTAAAATTTTGAGGTTACATGTGTGAAATGATTATAACTTAAAGCAATCCTTTACTCCTTGAGGCCTAAGGTTATCCTTTGTAAAAAGTTTAAGCTATATAAACAATTCAACATTAACAAATATAAATCCACGAGTACATTTCTAAATATTTCTCAACCAATAACCCTTACCTCCAATTTTAGCATTACCTAAAACAATATAATCTCTTATCATATTACCATATAGTCCCTATATCTAATATTTTTCAAAAAAAAAAAAAAAAAAAAAGTAGTGCATCGCACGTTCATGTTACCATATACTCCCTACATCTAATATATATTATACGCAACAATACTAATGAACGTACGAATTGTTGTGGATTTGACTTGTAAGAAGACTATCATAATCATTGTTATATATCCTATACTAAGTGAGCATTGTATTAGAAATAGAAAGAACTACGCCAAGTCGTGTGAAATTAATCAATATAATTGTAATGTTTGTTGAATCTTCTAAAATGTGTAGTATTTAACCATTTAGGAGAGGAGGAAGCTGTACATTTCAATGTAACTGATACTGTATAAAGGCGAACATTTTAAATGATTATACAATACTTCAACTAACCAACGGTCAACAGAAAATTGCACAAAGCGAGGTATGAAAACAATCTATGCATGCAAGAGAATAACCTAAAAATTCTTCATGGTTTTAGCTTTTGAGTGTAGATATAGTCTGTGTGAGCTAGCAAAGATCTTCTCATTAAGCATTCTTCTTCTGATAATCCTTCACATTTCTCATTATCTTCTTTTGGCTCCCTTCCATTATCCTTCAAAACCCGTCGAATAGTTCATAAACATTTATTTATACAAGGGAGAGAATAAATCAACATAACAAAAACCTCAAATTAAATACAACCATAGTTCACCTGAAACGGCACTTCTGAACACTGCAGCTTGTTGCTTAAGAACCGAGGTGTGGATCGCCCAGCATGCGTGAATGCTACGGACATCAGGAGAAGCGCCATAAGAAGGGCGACATTCCTAGCCTTAGGAATCATATGGTTAGTCCACTTTTATATGAATAAATAGTACACAACTTAGGGGAAAACCTTCTATATATATAGATATATTTTATATAGTATGTGGTAAGAAAATCACATGAAATTTTGGAGGAAAACATGGATTAATAACACGCATGGTTAGGTTTATGTTACTAATTGAACAAAGCAAGAAACATAAAAAGAGATTCTGACTTTGTCTATGTATCTAGAAGCAAAAAAAATGATCTCTACAAGTAAAGACAATTACAACAAAATAAACATAACTTTTGTAATTTTCTAGATGTTTAGGCCTACACGACACACTAATTACTTACTATGTTTAAACGTGAATTGAATATAAGGAGCTGATTAGCGGAACATTATTATGTTATGTATAAATAGTTGCTTTAGGCTGTAATATCTATGAAATGACAAATTAGCATGTGATATATGGATGATTAATATATTTTTTTTTTCTTCTTTTTCGGATGCGAATAGTACGTTAAGACATTCCATTCGTTTCAAATTTAAATGTTTTCACTTTTCAATATCAAACATTCACCATTACTTCTATTAAAAATATTATGTAATCCGTATATTTGTTAAAGGACAACTTAAAAAGAGTGAACACGACAAACTTACAATTTTGGTTTACACCAAATTGCCAATTATTATTTTAATAATTATAAAGTCATTTAAATTACTTGTCAAAAATACTCTTCAATTAAAAAACGAACAATTAATAAGGAATGAAGCGTGATAATTAATTTTTGAAAACCATTATTGAGGCTATCTAAAAGGAATTATATGATAGTTCAAATTACAAAGTTTAGATAAACTAAAACAAATATAACTAGATAAAAACAATTTTTGACAAAATTATTGATATGTTTGTAAGATGATAATTATAATATAGGTACGTAATATAAGCGAAACACTAATAGAGTGGCATAGTTTCCTAATTCTGACAAGTTGTGTGCATTTGTCAACCTAATTTACACACTTTTATTATCTCCCGTGTACTCACTTTAATTTCTAGGATTAGCTTAGCCAAGTTTGATAATCCCAAGAATTGGTAGGTTTGTAAATTTGGTAAACCTTACTTTCAACATTTTTCTTACCAGTTGCAAACTCTTACACCTATTCGGTTTATAAATTTGACTTCAAATTTAATGGTATATAAAGTAAAAAATACTATGTACTCCATACTTAATACATAATTTCAAGACATTAGTTTATATATATATATATATATATATATATATATATATATATATATATATATATATATATATAGGGGAGGAATCCGGTAATAACCCATCCTTATATAAGAACCTTAGTTATATAAGAATCAATCTCATCCGTAGGATTAGATTAATTCGGACGGTTCAGATTAAAACACGTATCCTCCCTCTAACCCCTTACCCACCACCCAAAATTTTCTCTCTCTTCCTCACGTTTCTTTCCTCCTCTCTCTCTTCAAACCCCAAAAATCTCCCTAAATTAGCATGATGTTGAAGTGGATTTTGTTTTTCTTTTCGATTTTTTTGAGTTTGATTTTCGAAAATATTGGGCTCGAATTTTTGAACTGTTGATTTTTTTTTTCTTTTCAATTTTTGTTTTTCTTTTCGAATTTTCGAACTGTTTTTCTTTTTTTTTTGTTCGATTTTCTATTTTTTTTTGTACGATTTTTTTTTGGTTCGATTTTCTTTTTTTTTTTGTTCGATTTTCTTTATTTTGTGTTTGATTTTCTTTGTTTTTTGTTCGATTTTCTTTATTTTTGTTCGATTTTCTATTTTTTTGTTCGACTTTTTTTTTTGTTCTATTTTCTTTTTTTTTTTTGTTCTATTTTCTTTTCTATTTTTGATTTTCAAATTATATAGTTCGATTTTTTTTTTCGATTTTTGCTAATATTTTGATTTTTGTTCAATTTTAGTTCGATTTTTGCTAATATTTTGATTTTTGTTCAATTTTAGTTCGATTTTGTTTGATTTTGTTCAATTCAATTTTTGTTCAATTGTTGTGGGGTAGAGGATTGTCGTGAAAATGGAGCTATAATTGATGCCAATAATCTACTTGAAATGAAGGTGGTTAATTGGTTGTTGCGGGATAGGAGTGACGGGTGAATAGGTGGCTGATTACGGCATTGAAGGAGGTGCACAGGTGGTTATTGCGGTTGTTGCTGGAGATGTGGTGCGAAGGTGGTGTCAAATGGTGGTGTTTATGCGGAGGAAGGTAGTGTGCTGTTGGAGTTGGTGGTTTGGCTGCAATTGGTGGCAGAATAATTGTTGTTGGTGTTGCTGGTGGTGCAGGGCAGCAACTAATTACGGTTGGTGGTGTTAAAGGGGTGTTGCGAGTGGGCTGCTCGGGTGGTGTTGAAGGGGTGTTGCGAGTGGGCTGCTTGATGTGAGTTGGTGGAGTGAAGAGGGCAGCAAGCTGGTGGAGTAGGGGAATGAATTGGGGAAATGATTATTTTCTCTATTTTGCATGAATTATTTTATCTATTATTTTATGATTTATCATTTTCATTGTTGATTTTGTTCGATTTTATATAGTTCAATTATGTTCTAAAGTTCAATTTTATATAGTTCGATTATGTTCTAAAGTTCAATTTATATAGTTCGATTATGTTCTAAAGTTTTCCATTATGTTTTAAAGTTTTCCCTTATGTTCTAAAGTATTTTTATTATGTTCTAAGATTTTTTATTATGTTCTAAAGTATTTCTATTATGCTATAAAGTTTTCTATTATGTTCAAAAGTTTTCTATTATGTTCTATTATATTTTTCCCTTATGTTCTAAAGTTTTCCCTTATGTTCTAAAGTATTTCTATTATGTTCTAAGATTTTCTATTATGTTATAAAGTATTCTACTATGTTCTAAAGTTTTCCCTTTATGTTCTAAAGTTTTCCCTTATGTTCTAAAGTATTTCTATTATGTTCTAAGATTTTCTATTATGTTGTAAAGTATTTCTATTATGCTATAAAGTTTTCTTATTATGTTCTAAAGTTTTCTATTATGTTCTAAAGTATTATGCTATAAAGTTTTCTATTATTTTCTAAAGTTTCTATTATGTTCTAATGTTTTCCCTTATGTTCTAAAGTTTTCTATTATGTTCTATTATATTTTTCCCTTATGTTCTAAAGTTTTCTATTATGTTCTAATATTTCTATTATGTTCTAAAAATTTCTATTATGTTCTATTATATTTATCCCTTATGTTCAAAAGTTTTTCCATATGTTCTAAAGTATTTCTATTATGTTCTAAAGTTTTCCCATATGTTCTAAAGTTTTCTATTATGTTTTATTATATTTTTTCCTTATGTTCTAAAGTTTTCCCTTATATTCTAAAGTATTTCTATTATGTTCTAACATTTTCTATCCATATGTTCTAAAGTATTTCTATTATGTTCTAAAGTTTTCTATTATGTTCTATTATATTTTTCCCTTATGTTCTAAAGTTTTCTATTATGTTCTAATATTTCTATTATGTTCTAAAGTTTTCTATTATAGTAAAAAAAAAAATTTGAAATTAAAATCCAATAATAGAAAAACTCAAGCAAGAAAAAAAAAATCTGAAAAAAAAAATTGAAAATGAAAACTAGAAACTAAAAAAAAAAAAAAAGCGAAAAAAATTAGGGAAAAAACAGAGAAAAAAATCGAAAAATAAAAAATTGAAATCGAAAAAAAAAATTGGAAAAAAAACGAAAAATAAAAATAAACAAATAAAAAACTTGACAATAAAAAATCGAAAAAAAAAAACTGGAAAATCGAAAAAAAAAAATTGAAAATAAGAAATCGAAAAAAATGGAAAATCGACAAAAAAAAAAACTGGAAAATAAAAAAAAAACTTGAAAAAAAAATTTAAAAAAAAACCTGGAAAATCGACAAAAAAAAACTGGAAAATAGAAAAAAAAATGGAAAATCGAAAAATTATGATTATGTTCTAAGTTTAATGTCTATGTTCTAAAGTTAATCTGATTATGTTCTAAATTACTTGATTATGTTCTAAAGTAATTCTGATTATGTTGTAAGTTAGATGTCTATGTTCTAAAGTTAATCTGATTATGTTCTAAATTACATGGGAATGTTCTAAAGTATTTTTTATTATATTCTGAATTACATGTGTATTTTAATTTTAACGTGTTTGTATTTTTTTTGTTTGCAGTTTGAGCAAATGAAAAGGTTATGAGTGGAGTATTGTGGGAAGATTATAACATCAGAAGTAAATGAAGAAGTAAATGAAGAACGGAAAAGAGTGATGAAGATGGCTAGAAAGTGGTCAAAGCTGAACAAAAATTGATATATGATTGTGTAAATCTTAAGTTTATATCTTTAGACATATATTTAAAACAATATATAGTACATTTTTTGTACAAATATGGAGATGACTATTTTGAACATGGGTATCATTTGGAATATTAATATCATTTGAAACATTAACCTTTGAAACATTATTTTTATAATGTTCTAAAGTATTTCTGATTTGGAATAAGCTTAAGTTTTTCTTTCGTACAATGAAGAAGGAAGAGGAAAGGAATGAGGTCACACTAAAGACACCAACTCCTCCAAAAACGACACAAAGATATTTCTACTCTAAGCTTCAATTAGTTGTCGCTCTCACCAAGTTTTTTTTGATATGTATATATAAATACATTATACTACCTCCGGTTTACTTTAGTTGCAACTATTTCCTTTTTGGGCTGGTCCACATTACTTGCAACTTTCCCATTTCTTTCCTTTTTTAGTAACTTTTTAGTGATAAAATTACCATTTTACCCTTACTTTTTTTTTAAACACCCTAATTACAAAACTGATGGGTTTCAAATCGGTGGGTTTCGGGGTTGGTGTTTTGGTTTTGGTGGTTCAGATGTGTTGGGTTGGTGGTTTCGGTGTCGGTGGGTTTGGGGGTCGTTGGGTTTCTGGGGTTAGTGGGTTTCTGGTGGTCGTGGCCGGTGGAATCGGTGGGTTGGGGGTAGTTGGGTTTCTGGGGTTGGTGGGTTTCTGGTGGTCGTGGCTGGTGGAATTGGTGGGTTGGGGGTCGTTGGGTTTCTGGGGTTGGTGGTTTGGTGGTTTGGTGGTCGTGGCTGGGTTGGTGGTGGTTGATTAATTGGGTTGAATTTGTTTTTTTTTTATTCCTTGATTAATACTTAATTTTATACCCTTATCTTTCATTAAACATGCTTAGGAAAATTTGCCTCGGCCTCCACAAACCCTCCCAAAAACTTTAGAACATAAGTAGACTGAATTTAGATCATAGGCAAAAGAATTTAGAACATAAGAAGAAGAAAAAAAACTTTAGAACATAGGTTGGAAAAATTTAGAACATAGGAAGAAAAAAAAAAAAAAAAAAACTTTAGTATATAAGTAGACTAAATTTGGAACATAGAAAAAAAAAATTAGAAAATAGGTAGACTAGATTTAGAACATAAGAGTAGGCAAAAAAATTTAGAACATAAAAAAAGAATTACAGAAATGCCATTACTAAAGGATGGTTTTAGATGGTTGGATCAAAACTAATAAATGGTTGAGATTGGTTCTTATCTAAGATTGAGTTCTTATATAGAGGAGGGTTCTTACATGAGCCTTCCTCTATATATATATATATATATATATATATATATATATATATATATATATATATATATATATATATATATATACTCTTACTAATATATAATTAGAAATATTAATGATCAAAGTTGACATTGACAAACAAGAAAGTCAAATTGTAGCATGTATCTAGAAAAAAAGGAAGTATGCGAGAAAAAGAAGTTCAATTATATCAAGTGCCACCTATACAAAACAAAAACAAAAACATATAAATTAACATAGGGAGATAGTTGAAGGATCTCAACAATTTTCTCTTCTTTCTAAATCGCAACCCTAACTCGTGATCATAGTCCATAAGCTCCTTTAACAATTTTTTTTTAGTTCAAACATATATTATCAACTCAAATCTCTAATACACAAGCACAACATCGGGGGTGTACGTATGTGTATCCATAAACAATGCAACAACAATTAAAATAAAATTGATACAATTAACATTTTAACAAGGGATCCACTATACACGGACATCTATATAGTGATCCACAAATGTCAGTGTTCTTTATAGATTTTTTTCCCCTACAACATTGGTCATAAACTCATAATAAACTGACCATTTTCAAACCGAACTACTAGTAAGTATTAAGCTATATTTAGTCCTAGTCAATCAAGAAAGTATTCCACAATATAAGCTAAAATTACTACATTTATCTTGTAATTTAATCTTCTAAATAATACTTCATGTTCTATAGTTCTTTACTCACGTAATACGAATATGATAGAAATGCTTATCAAATGAACTATGTTTCATAACTAAAGTTACATATATACAGCCTATCATTTTAAAACAATGGGAACACCATTTTAAGGGTATAGTAGCACAGCGAGAAACCTTGCTATTGCAATTAATGGGGCTTAACCTCGCCCTTTATAAAAAAAAAAATAATAAATAAAAAAATAGGAGTATAATCTCTAATTTAAGGTAGACAAGCACAAGAATGATAAGAACATACATAAAACTCCGTATTTGCTAACAGTCGTAGCACAACCAAACAACTTGTAATTGAAATGAAATAACCAATACATAATTCAGAAAAGAACACACCCTGAAAGTTGATGCTAAATGAAAATTAAGCAAATCAAACCCAAGTTTTGTATAGTACTTCAGTTTCCCAATCATGTATTATAAATATAATCACATATGAAAAGGAAAAAGGGATGATAATGTTTAGTTGTTCAAAATTCAGGAGTCAACCACTGAAGTCAGGCACTCAGTTATCTAATACAAGAAGAGCTGTTTCACTGTCTCAGGACCAAGACAACTGGGGATTAAACCTATGCGCTAACAAAATTTGACCCTGATATCAATATCAATTAGCGAACATATAAACTTCCATGATCAATACCATTCATACATCTTCCAAGCCAAACTCAATGCTTACTCTAATAAGGAAAATCGATGAAAACCATCCAAATACTGCCTAAATCTAGTCATAAAAGAAAGATACCTTTCTGATTACATACGAAGATCCTGCTGGCTTCCAAGGTGGATGTGCAATCGAGCCTTTTCCAATAAATATCATGCAATGTGGCTCTCTAGGTCTGAGCCCTTTCACTTCATGCAGTAAACAAAGAGTGATGATTGATGATGTCCCACTGAAGTGAACATGTTCAAAACAACAAAATAATGTTTAATTCCCTTGTATATTGCTACAACATACATGCCTCACAGATCACCAGTTACCTGAAATTATTTGAAAAACAACCAATCAGTCAAGGCGTCTCGAAATCACTTAGATACCAGTTTTACATCATGCAAATACGTGTAAACAATACTCCATATAATCCTTAAATAGTAGGCCACATTTTTAAAGTGGTCCGTTCCAGAATAATAGACCACTTTCTATATATTGCGAATTGATGTTTTTTTTACTACCAATACTTAAGCTAGAATAATAGACCACTTTCTATATATTGCGATTTAATAATTTTTTTTTTTACTAACAATACCCCTAATTATACCTTCAGCTAAAAGCTCCATAGAAATACTTTGTACTACTTACGGAGTATTAACAAAAGACGACTTTCTAAATAATGCAAGTTACGGTAAAAACTTAAACTTGCTCACAAAACCTTATAAATATCTTCAGCTACAAACTCCATAGAAATACTACTTTTTGGCTTGTTGGAGATGTAAACGCATACATAGAGAGGATGGTTATGGTATTTCAACTCGCTAAATATAAGATAGCCCCCCAATTAGATGTGTTCAGTTATTTAGGGATAGAGAGAGTAATAATATAAAGATTAAGAGAAGATTATATCCTATCAAGTCCATACCTAGTATAAAAGCAACATCTATATGGATAAAAAAAAAATAAACAAATAATTTACGACATTGTAGCCAATTCATTTCAATCGCAGAACCAGAAAAGTAATAATAACACTGAATTATCTTGGTCTAACGCATTTGAGATTTCAGTTCCAACAAAAAAAAAATGCATCTCTCTGTTTTATCCTGCTAGAAACTCCTTATTGGGAGAAGGAGATTCTAACCCTACCTCATGCAGCAACTTGCATAGAAACTCTATTGAATAACAAGACAGCCTGAAAACTAATTATAGCAGCTATCATGACTAAACTATTTGAATACGACAAAAGACAAAAAAGCTAAGATATTAACATTAATCATAAGAGTCAAAAAGAACATTTAGATAGCAGAATGTTCAAAGTCAGGGATTGACTTTGACTGGCCATCTTATAGATTGATCAAGTATGATTAATTTCACTAGCCTACACATTCCTGAACTTGGGAACATAGTGGATTATCCAATTAGAAACAAGACTGAAGTGAGCTTACCCAGCTCCCCGTCTTCAAGCTCCTCATTGTCTCCTTTTCTACGAGAACCATTACGATGCTCTCTCTTGGGTTTCTTATGCTTGCTTTCACTATCGGATTCTGTGTGCTGCTCCATCTTAAACAAGAGATAAGAGAAAATTCAATAGCAGTAATGAACAAATAACTGGATTTTAAAGGGAACCCATAGGAGGATACAGAATTGATGGGAAGAAGATGCATACTTGTCTTGACTTCTTACGCTCACTGCTGTGCCTGTGAGAACTTCTCGAATGATCTTTTCCGTTTTTATCCAAAATTGAATCGTTTTCATCATCTTGATGGCGCTTACGATGCTTCTTATCCTTGTCTTTTCCTGACTTTCGGCCCTGACTTGATACTGAAGTTTCATCAACGTCAGGTTCAGCATCACCCTCGTCCCTTCCACTTCGGTCCTTTCCTCTATCTCTGTCACGCCTCCTATCTTTTTCCCTTTTGTCTCTAGACCTTTTATCTCTTTCTCTCTCCTTCTCTCTCTTACCCTGATGAAATAGGAAAAGAAAGAACCAGAATTCAGAAAAATTGGCAGAAGCAAAAGCAGGAAACTAATAACAACCTCTCTCTCCACTCCACCCCCTCTTTTTTCCCCGCCCCAGTGCTCTATCCTATTCCCATGTCCAGATAGGCCCATATATAGGGTTTGAGGACAAGGAACATATAGAGACTGCATTAGAGTGAATGAAGAGAAAAGTTGCAAAACTGTAGATGGTTCCATATTAGAGATTCAATAGTGCCCCAAGGCCGGCGTGTCAACAGACTTTTGTGATAGATTTTAACCATCCTACTAGTACACACAACTACCAAAAATTTAACTGTAAACAGAATTTTGAATTCAAATAATTGAAATACCAGCAGTCATAATTATAATTCCTCTATATATGGGGCTCAAATTATAAGTACTTCCTCTGTATTGGCAAAAGTATTCCTGATCTTCAGTCACCGTTGTGAAAACAAAGTGAGGTTGGTAACAGTTGGTTGCTATGTTAATCGGACACGGCTAAAATCACGAAGTGTTCGTGTCATGTCGACACGGACACGGGACACGTGTCTGACCCTTCACTGTGCACTCGGACACTTCCATTAAGAGTGAAGAGGAAAAAAGAGGAGAAACATGAAAGAAAAACACATCTTGTTCGAAGACCACCATTGATATAGAGAAGATGGAGAGAAGAAGATTGCCATTTATTAGGAGAATTTACCGAGAAAAGAATTAAAATAAAAAAATAGGGGTGGACGTAATGAAAAATTTAAGGCTTTTGTAATATATAATTTATTTATATAAAATGACGTATTGACGTGTCCCCATACCAGTGTCCAAATACCGTACAGAGTCCTCGTGTCCTAAAATTATGGAACTTGCCGGATCAGACACTTGGACATGTGTGTGTCCGACACCCATTCCCGAGTCCATGGAACATAGATTGGTTGTAAAAGGTGGAGAAGAGAGAAATTGATGAGGGAGGAGGATAAGCATGAGAGACAGAAATGTGTGGCTAATGAGCATTCATGCTCTTACTATCACAAATTAGAGTTTTATGTTTCAGGACATAAATACCTTTTCTTCTCTTCTCTTTCGATCTTTCTCCTCCTTTTCCTTCAACTGATCAAGATACTCCTCAAAAATCTGCATAGAGAAAGCTTTTTCCCCAATAGATCTACACATGACACACAAGACCAATTTGAGCAATTAAAAACATAGAAAGAATATAAGACAAAATCAAGAATGAATAAAGAAGCTGAAATCAATCAGAAACACATATATAACTTAATTCCAATTAGAATTAGAAGAAGAAAAAAAATAAAAAAAAATCAAACAATTAACTCTTCATTAATGCAGAAATGTGGAAGTGAATTATATTCGAAATGAGAAGCACAGACAGCTCACAAGAGGTCAAATTACAGTGAATTACACAAACTAGGAATGCTTTTCTTTTCTCAATTTGGCTACATTAAAACCATTGTGGCTCTAGTTATATAAGCATGGAGGTTACATGTGGCTATAATATGGTTTAATTGGACAAGTTGAGATGTCCAAAATCACATACTCCTGTTCGGGACTCTAATAATACATGAGCTTTAAGGTGAACAACTGAACAGATTGTTCCACAATATATTGGAGTCTTGATGCACCAGAACATAACTCAACTTTTAAGCAATAATATTAGGTGGCATGGCAGTAGAGTATCCTGCTACGATAGAAAACATACAAAAGACATGGTATTTTAGAAACACATTGACAACAACAGAAGACCAAAAAACCATCAACCAGTGCCTCTTCTGGGGGCTTTACCGGCATTGGGTTCAGTCCTACCCTAGAGGTTGCCTCACATTACACTATAACTTGATTATAAAAACACCCATATTTAATCTTAAGCATCTAGAGCTACAATGAGCTAACAAACATGCAGTACCTAAACTCTTCTCGATCTTCAAAGAGTGGTAGACAGTCCTCCCACTTTGAATCAACGGTTATATCCTGCAATATATTCAGAAACGCATGACGCCTAGAGGACCAATTTTAACATCCAACAAAGTCAACTATCTAGTGGAAAGAAAACATGTACTACCTTGAGTGAACATAACATGTTAAAGAATTCATCTCCAAGACGCTTTCGCCTTTTTGCTTCTTTCTCCTCTTTTTCTTTGACTCTTTCAAGTAACTCATCAAAAACTAGCTACAAAGCACAAAGCATTAGAGCATTAGAAGCATTCAAGAAAATTAGCTTAGAGCCCCACAAGAAGGCAAGAAGCAACTAAGAAATGATCTACAACCCAATGACATTACATTAAAGAAGCCACAACAAACTCCATAATTGTTATAGTATCCGACTCGGAAAAGCTGAAAAAATTTTGGAGTAGAAAAATATGAAGGCATGGAACAAAGTCGAGCATCCAAAGCCATCATAGAGCATGCCATATGGCACACTCTCTAGTATATCCATGACTTTAAATATTGGTGCACAGAATCAACATATTACTCAAAACCTGACAACACCATCATAGAAGTAAAGAAGGGGACAAACTCAGAAATGGAAAGAAAAACTTAAATTGAGAATTAAAAGGGCCATGAAAAAAGTCTAGGAATAGAAGTGGCAATTAATGGGTCAAAAGACGGGCAAATAAATGAGAAGCAATTATTATTCCTAAAAAATCTACTAAAATTTTACAAATCCAAAAACACTACTCAATCACAAAATTTGGACCACTCACAAGGCAGCTCTAGTTTCACACACTTGTAAAACACACACAAACAAATTTTGTGACCATAACAGCTTCTTAATAGGTAACAAACAAGAAGAGCAAACAACACGTCTTGTTAATAGGTTCATTGAAGAGCCCAAAACTACATGCTCCCTCCATGGTCACTAAACTAACTTCTCTTATTATATACTATCAGCCACTTATTATCAATGCACTTTTCCTTGTCAAATTTAAATAAAATGATGGTTTAAAGTACTGATACGATAGCTAACAGCTCCATACTCTCAGTGCATAACTTGGAAAGAATACTAGTGTTATAACGGAGAAGTACCTTACAAAGCTACAAGAATACCATATGCAAGTATTTGAATCAAAATTGCAGATTATTAACATGCCCATAGTTCAAGCCACATAATAATAACTCGGGAACTAGGGACATGCATACACCATAATAGTATTTTTGTCTTCTACTAAACACTGAAATCATCATAATAACTCGAGCTACATCAACATAAAGATAGATATAATAAATGCTTAAGAGTAAGGCTCAAGGACAGACAACCAGGGACCAACACCAACCTTCAAGTTGTTCTCTGACACTTCCGGATTGCTGATATCATCCTCAATTGCAGCCTTGAAGTCTTCAAGAGTCCAAGTAGAAGATATGGAAACCTTCAGCAAAGTTAAACTTTAGTTACTGAGAAACATATACGCAAGGAGAGAAAATATAGCTATTCATAGATGTTAACCTTTCCAGACTTCACAGCATCCTTAATCCGTATCCTATCATCTTCATACTGCAGAACACAAAGGTTTTCACTTGATAAATAATGTATATTCAAGTTGAAAAACTATAGAAAAATTCTCCGCTGCACCCTCGAGGTTACTACTTTTTCAATGCATCCTTATTTATTTATAACACTGATTTGCGGATGAATGTTTTTTATTTCGTTTTTTTTTTTTATTGGAAAGAGAAAAGATAAACAAGTTTTAGTCTTCTCTAAATGTTGGGTCAACTAGCATATTGACGATAGGCATGATTAACATTGATCATAACACCCTTTAAGAAAAATAAAAAAATAAAAACACTATCAATGTATGTCTATTTACTAATTTCAAATTTATGTTAATTAAAGAGAAATCACAGGGAATGTACATCGCATTCATTACCATTAACCAATGCAATAAGAATCTTAAAATCTATCTTCACAAAAGGTGTATTTTCTTCACTTATCTGATTTAATTGGCCATGAACTTTACTAATACTTCCTCCTTTCCCCTAACATTGCAACAAGGGGAATTTAAGATGAGGAGGGTGATTGAGAGAAATAAAGATAGAGATCCATGTGATGAGAAGAGAGATAGAGAGAGCATAAGCAAATATTTAAATGTTGCAATATTTGTGAAACTTCCTAAAATGGTGCTTGTTACAATATAATGGGAACAGAGAAAGTATGTAGTACTTATTAGCCCTTATAGGGAAATTAAGGTGAGGAAAACAAAGCCTAAGAGATAAGATAGGAAAAAAGAACTTGAAGATAAAGCATACAATTTCCCAATACTTAAAGGCTGAAAGTAAATTAAACTAGAGAGGCTTGGTTTGACAACACATAAATTTCTACTGCAAAAAGTTTCAGAAAATCAAGGTGTTAGTTTCTACAAGTTAAGTCATTACAGATCAGCCATAATAATCTGTGAGGAGCAGGTGCACAATCAAATGCTCATGTCATGCTATGCATCAACTTGAGTGAAACTCTGGTTCAATTCTACACTATTATATATGCACATACCTGCTTCTTTAGCTCTTCAACTACATCTTCAAACAACTCCTTAGGAGTGGAACCTGAGGTATTGGACGAGACTGCAACATACACCGGTGTATCTTTAACCTGAAAATGCAACAGAAAACGGGCAAAACTAATTTTAGCAAAGGAGTCCTGAAAAGCCCAGCTGCACAGGGGGATATTATCTGACAATAAACCTTAAACTCCACTCTTCAACCACTCTAGAAAATGAGAGGACAAAAATTACACAGCCTATTCAAGTTAGATAAGAGAAATATGTACCTTTGAGTGGTAATCACGCCAAAGTGTCTTGGCACTGAGAGTGCCATCTGAGACATGTCCTTCCATCAACTTCCGAAATTCATCACGGTTTCTCCGTTCAGCTCTTCTTATTTCTTCCTATTATATCAAATGCACCAAAAAAAGGAAAGAAATTAGGAAGAAAAAACAAAAAAAGTTAAACTTCCAGCAAAATAATCAATAGTTTCGTTGTTTATGCATGCGCACTTTAAGACCTTGGTTGGGGGTCACATGGTCTAATGACCTGTTCCGGAGGATAGACGTAGAAACTCATTGTTTAAAAACATAATTGCACCAGTAACTAAGTAGCCCGGGCACCAGGTTGCTATTGTTGTAGACGTGCAATCGATAATTTTTTTTAAAGGCTTTTCAAAACAGAAATTGTCATTGTCAAACCAAAATTGAGTTATTCTTTTAGTATCTTCTTTTTTTTTTAATTGAACCTTGTGGTTTGCACTTATATAATTTTTTTACGTAGAAATAACATAGTTGATAAGTGGCTTAGATGGTTATATAGCCATCTTTGTTATAAAAGGTTGAGGGTTCAAATCTCCTTATCCTTATGTTTTTATATGGAGTAATATTGGCTGCTTGGGTGATGTGGCGTAATAATTAAGATTGTTTGAGTGATGATGTGGCGTCATGAGAATACAAATGGGAATATGTGGCCCATCGACGTTCTTGAGAACGCCTTTTAATGTAATAGTATAGATTAGCATTCCAGTGAGCCACGTGTGTTCATTTGACTCAATATGAGTTACTTTTAACAAACTAGAAACATAAACAGCAATGATATACAGCTAGCAAGCTGCTACAACAACAGCAACAACAACAACAAAGCCTTAGTCCCAAAATGATTTGGGGGCAGCTAGCTAAGCCCGCTAAATCATCTCAGGATGGGACCTTGTAATGAGCACGGTGTAATGGGCTAGGAGCCTTAACTCCCCTTCCTGTTTTCTTCATCGACCTCTAACATATCTAAGTTCTTATAAAAGACCAAAAATCAGTGCTCGTAAAATCAATAACCATCAAACTTTTTGCACAAAATTTATTTGGAAGTGGTCTTCAGGCATTACATTTCACAAACATTACGACATAATGATAACCAAACCCCCTATGATTTTTCATATAAGAAAAATATAACTTAATACTTTTTAGTGCCAAGTCAGAAAAAAAAAAGGGAAAAAAAAAAGAAAGAAAGAAAAGGAGCAAACACAAGGATGGGATGAAGCAAAAACTGAGATACCTTCTGAATTCTTTTTTGCTCTTCCTCTTCCTTTTCCAAATCACCAACATACTCCTGCAACCATGCATCAAGGTTAGCCTCAACTCCATTATATTTCATTTGATGTTCTTTTCCAAACACTAGCTGTAAGGTACGAAAGATACCTGGAAAATTTTCAATTGATCCATTGCGTCAAGCCGAGAACATCTTTGATCATCCTCCAAGCGGTCTTTCACTTTCCTCCATTGACTGTTTGCCTTAAAAATGCAAAGAGTGGTACCAAGAGAGTACCACCAATGAATCCAATGGCATCATTAATCACATGATAGTAGGCAACAGCTTGACATGTTAAATACAAACTAGAGGAATTAATCATTGTACTGATAGATACCTTAATAAAGTCGCATGATTCCAAGAAATTCCTGTACTCCATTATGTTCCGTTGACGTTCTTCTTCTTGCTTTGAACGTTCCTAGCAACACAAAATCCAAAAAGGACCATTTTTCAATAAAGTAAATAATATGCTAAAGAAACACACAGTCTAGTTGGGAAAATACAATTATAAATCTACAGAATAGCAGAAACAAATGTCCTGCAGATAACTATTAGTAAAGCTATCAATATTTGTAATAAGAACAAAGCTCACCTTCTTCTCCAGTTCAACCACATATTCTTCAAACATGTCCTCACGATCTCTCGCTCTCTCAATGGCTTTGAAACGCTCATCATTTCCAATCATATTTAAAGCTTTGCTGTTTCCGAAGGAAAAGAAAGGTCAAGCAGCAATCAAACACTAAGAACTACATACTTAGGAAAACATAAGTGCAGATGTACTACCCCCATCTTGTCGTTGATGTCAGCTCACTGCATTCCTGCAAGAAAGAGGAGGACATTAGAAAGGGGACAAGATGTGCTATCTAATTGAAAGAAAATTCAGGTAGCTTACTTCTAACATTTTCCTGAAGTTCTCCCTTGCTTTTCTGTGCTTAAAACGCCTTTCCTCAGCTTCGTGTTTTCTTTTTTGAATCAAGTGCTAGAAGTAAAGGGCAAATAAATGGGAGCATGTTAGTATACATATGTTTACTGGCTATTCAAAGAGCAAAGTTGCCAGATATCATCAAATGGATCACGTTTTATTGAGAAATTCAGAAAATCAAACCAAACCTCATTGAAAGCTTGCTTCCTTTCTCCAAGCGATCTAAGAGCTGCGTATCTTTTGTCATTGATAATTAATCTCATAGCCTGAAAAGACCAAGTTCCAATGTCAAGGAAACTTAGGTAAAGTTAGCTATGTGGTTTCAATACTCGACAGATTAAAGTGTGTGTGCTTTCAACAAAAATGCTACCTGCTCCCAGGTCCAGTCAGATTCAACATTCACAGATTCAAGAAGAGCTTTAAAAGCATCTTTAGCCTCCTGCATTACAAAAGTCAAAATATAATTTCTCAAAGGAGGAAAAAAAAAAGGACCAATTACGGAAGAACCGCTATCACAAAGACAGACCTGTTTGCTAGCATAGGTTAGCGTTTCAGGCTCAACCACTTTTTCTTCTGAGGCAGTAACACTTGTCTTTCCAATAATGTCTGTGCTTTTATTGTCTTCCTGCAGAAGAAAACCAACAAATTCTTAGAAAAAGTTATTTATGGATTCATCATGATATATCCACAGCCAAAGTGAGATCATTTCCTCTTCTTGCGCCAGAACATTCTGCAAAGACTCTATAGCTTCCTCGGTTGGGACCAAATTGGATTGATTCCTACAAAAGAAATGGGAGCATCAGAATCTGAAAAGCCAGCATCCCTAAAATATGCTATAGTAAGCATCAAAGTCTTTATACATTGGCAAAGGTGCAGTGTCAAAAGCTGCTTGCTCATCAACAATTCCAGGGGCAGTTGCACCAACATCAACGGTAGACAAAGCATCTTTTTGTACCTCAGAATCCTTAAGAGGCAAAGAAGCCAAGCCAGGAGATGATACAGTTGGTGAAGTGGTAGCATCAGCAACAGCCACAGGTGTCACTCTAGCTGGACTTACATGTATAATAGGAATAAAAGATTTTGTATCGACTGTAGAAGGTGTTTTAACACTAGACTGGAAAGCAGATACAGAAGAGCTTCCAGCAACTTCTGGTATGGAAACTGTCTTTTCTACTTGCTCTCTTGCCAACTACAAGGATCCAAAACAATAACAAATATCTTATTTAAGTCAATTAAGAAAATATCAAAACAATTACATAGATCGTACTTTGAGTACTACTAATCATTGATAGAAGTGTCAGCAGTTAGGAAACTGAAGGATCAGTTAAGAAATAACCTTAAGCTCTTCAGGAATCACCCACTTGGACTGCTTGGTAACTCTGTTATAATAATACCTGGAACAGTTTTGTATCACAAACAATATCAAACAACCTTCACACAATTGGTTGCAGAAGATTTAACAAAAAAATTGTCATGTGTACAATAGATAGCTCACTTTCTTCCATCAGGGCCTGTATACTCCTTCCAATCAGTAGTCGCATCAGCCCTCTGTCATAGTACAACAAAAATAATTATAAACCCAAATATATACGGGCGACAAAAGAATTTAACAAATATCAGATGCAAAATATCCTCCAACAATGACGTTATTGGAACAAACAAGGAAAAAAGTATCCAAATGAGGAAGAAAGCCAATAATGAACTGTATCATAAACAATCCAACCCAAAAGTGTAAAGCACTTATGTTCAAAAATAAACTTAAATACCAAAATAAATGCAATAAATTAAATATACTGACAGCTTGATCTGAAAGACGCATCAAATATTTAGCCATGGAAAAGTTGGGCGAAATATCACTGAGCAAAAATGGGCATAAAGACACTCAAATCAAACTAGCAACAAATACATATATGACCCAAAAGTAAAGACTTGAAGAACTCAACAATATAACATGATTAAGTTAGCGATAAACAACCTCAGAAAGTCAGGTAATATAAACTAATTAACCTGCCTTACCTCAATAGGAGTCATCAGTTCGAAAGGTTTCTCCCACGTAGACTGCCTTGTCTTCTTGTTGTAGTAAAATCTGAACCAATAAATAGTTAAAATCACTATGTGTTGCTGTTTGGGACAAAGAGCGTTTATTGGTAAAATACAGACAACTGGAATATTATTTTTTTTACAAAAACAATACTGTGATCATGATAATAACACAAACAAATAACAAAGCATACAAAAAAAAAATGTGGAATCCATAACAAAAGGGCATTGAAAGTAATTTGATATGACTAGAGACTGCAGCTTCAATTCTCAGCAATGCAGATAAACAATATTAATCATTTTCGCACTCTTCGACCAGATTTTCTCGATAAAATTAGAGGTGGTATGACAGATATTTCTTTTTTTCAGCTAAACAGAAAAACAGAACTCCCTCCGTCCCTTTATTAAGAACCTGTTTGGGTTTTTTCACGGGAATTAAGAAAGTTGATGAAAGTACATAAGTGCATATGGGGTTAGAGAGAGAAAAAAAAAAGTGGTTGGGAATAATTGAAGAGAGGGAGAGAGAAAGTGTTGGGAATTGATGTAAAAGTACAAAAAAGAGATGATAACTCATCAAAAAGTGGAGAATATTCTCATATAGTACAACCTTAAAATAGAAGTAGGTTCTTAATTTTAAGCTCCCCAAAAAGGAACACAGGTTCTTAATAAAAGGACGGAGGGAGTATTAATCATTCTCACATTGCTTTCGCTTAGACCATATCTTCTCGATAGTTAAAACCAGAGGTGGTCTAACAAATTTTGATTCAATATGAAGTAGCATGTATTAATAATCAAAAGTATGCTACATGGTACATAGAAGATCTAAAAAGAAAATGTCTTCGTTTGTAATTAATGTAATATAACAAATAAAAGTAGTAATCAAACTTATTCATGCGCTACACAGCACATAATATTTTTCACTGTTTTAGTAATTGACATTGTTACTTTTTTGCTTCTTTATTAAGATTTACCTTCACGTTGAATGAATGCAATGTGCCTTTCTTAAATTGGCAAAGTAAGCTTAGACCCTCACTCAGTCCCCCCCAACTCTGCCCCCCCCCCCTCTTTGGGCAGTTAAAAATAAGAGAGAGAGAGAGAGAAAGAGAGAGAGAGAGAGAGAGGGAAAACAAGGTAATCTATTCAAAGGTGAAATAAAAATAAGATTCCAATAGTAAATATAATGTCAGTGCTTTGCCTTAAAAGACAATACTGGCACTTTGCTCAATCCAACGACACCAACCCAGTGCAGAAATGACTCTTGCCAAAGCCACTTCCTGCCTTTGTTCTTGCAAAACTAAAAATCTTGACCTGAAACATATGCAAAACCTTAGCAAGGAAACGCTCTTTCACAACCCCTGGAATATCTCAAAAAGAAGCTAACCACTGGGATAACCAAGTAATAAAATAATGAAATTATTCTCTAAATCCTTAACTATAGTTAGGAATCATAAGCGTTTTGAGAAAGCAGGTAAGAACAGGGAAACACGTTATTGAGAAAGCATACAAACAGTCACATTTTCAGAAGTAGCCAAAAATAGGCAACACAAACCATGTTGTGATGTTGATAATATTTCTCATTCTTTTCATTTTATTGACAGCTATTTGAAGTCAAAGGTAAACCTAAAATAGATTATTAATTTGACCATTATAAATACATCAATATGAGTCTAACAAGCCTGACCCACAACATAAAGAACTCATCACTATATTACAATGCAAAAAACAAAGTCAAGTTAAAAAAACCAAAACTTCCACAATAAGAAAATGAAACAGCATTTTGTAATTGTAAACAATATAAAATCTGAAAAAGAATCGAAACATTAAGCAACTCTTTTCATGATGTCTTTTCCCAAAGAAGCCACAGCAGCCGTTGCTTATAACTAAATGCATCTTAGAGGAAAAAAATTTGATACCGAAAAAAGGGCTTACATAGACATATAAACACCCAGTCAACTACCAGCAAATTTAAACGATACCATATTTGCTTCTAGTAAGTTAGTTGCACAAAATCTAGGTCTTGCTAACGCCATAACAGTTCCCAAGGTAAAAAGTAATGTTAGATACTATGCCCACAATACAAACCAAACTCCTTTTGCTGAAAATGGTCAGAAAGCCACTCATGTTCCTAAATAAAATGTAGTTCAGACCCACAACCAAGATCCAGATACACTATGCTTTTCTTATTCCAAACAACAATATAACTCAACCCAAAACCTACCGTCTTCCATTATTGGTGTGTTCCAACCAATCCGAAGAAGATTTCTCTGTAGACTTGAATCGAGAATCTACTACCTGAAAAGATATGTTGATTGAATCCTTTATTAGCAATCTATCTTATAATCTTTAGGTTGTATACAAAAGGCAACAAGACAAGAAACATACTGAAGTTGTGGGAATAGATGGTGGAGGCTGCCCACTTTGCTGCAGTTGAATAAATGAAGCAGCTGCAGCATCCTGGTTTCCAGAAGTTGATAAAGATTGCCCAGAAATAGGATTGCTTTCAAGATTTATTTGAGATACTGGCTGATATTGAGATGTAGGGTATGTATTTGGCTACAACAAATGAAAGATATTGTTAGATAAAAAAAATATCACGAATTATAAATGGGAGTCCCTAAAGTGTACACATGTTTAAATTCTTACAGCATAAGCTGGAAGAGGGTGCATTACTGGACCGCCCGAGGCAGGCAGATAACTACTTGAGGCCTGCAGATTTTGCACAGGTTGGGGCAATCCAGATGACATTGGCCTGTTTAACTGAATATTGGACATTGGCATAGACTGTGACATTGAAGGAAGGTGAGCTGGCGGTATCGGTCTTGTGGGCACTTGTTGTAAAGGTTGTGCAAACTGCATTTGCTGATTCTGTGATGGAGGCATTCCTAAATTCATTGCAGTAATACCAGGGCCAATAGACTGATACTGTTGAGATGCTGAAGGAGCAAATTGCTGAGATGGATGCATTGGAGCAATTTGCCGGAACTGTAGAAAAAAGCATAACATTTTGTACAGCTGGCTTAAATTGCCTAAGAAGTTAATTAAAACTAAACAGATAAACTTACCTGAGAAGGCATTGGAGGTGGAATATTCTGTGGGGGGCCAACAGAACCAACCATAGGTGGCCTTAGAGGCTTCAGATCAGAAGGCAATTAGATGGAAGCAAAAAATGCACGAGTCAGAAAATTTATTATGTTTACAATAAATAGAGTAACTAAGAAAGGAGCATATTCACTTGTATAATCACATATATTACGTATAGCATGATAAGGGGGCCAGAAGGTGGAAAGAGAGGAGGGAAATGGAGATTGAAGAAGAGTTTTCAGAGAGCTGTCATTTCTCCATAGTAGATACAATAGGAGACTGTTTGGCAGTAAGAGAAACATTTTTCAGGAAAAAAATTTCCAATTTCCTTTGTTTGGTTTGTTAAGGTTGGAAGAGGTTGAAAAATACTTATTTGAGGTTGTTCAACATTAAACTTTTGTAAGGAAGCCACATTTTCCTCTCCCCTCTTCATTAATGAATAAATTCATGCATATTTACCAATCTACATCCCTTCTAACATATGTATATTTAGTATTTACATGATACACAAATCAGCCTTATACAAATAAATAAATTTATAGATAAATCATGTCTCCAGGATACTAACATGTATTTTACGTGATACACCAATCTGTGATGAATAAATTCATGCATGATTTTAATTTTTTTTCCACATGGAAGAACAACTAATGGTCATGTCCAAGAGCTTGACTCCAATCTATTAGATATGTCCATTAAGCTGGTTTTTTTAGTCATAATCAACTAAAGCAGGTCACCTGTCCTAGTTTTTCCATGCTTCTCAAATCAATTTCACAGGTGAGACAAAACAATAATGAACAGCAAAGACATAGTTGTCTGACAAACAATGCCTTCAAAGGTGATCTTGTGTTGACAAAAGTAAAAGAAAACAAGAGTATACATTCAACCAAATGACTAGAAGGAGACTAATCGACATAACAGCACATTTATATTCGACGTAAGCACTGAGACTGATATACAGGATAAGAAAAGTCATATCTTTTTATGTTCCTAATCAATAATAAAATGATTTTGTGAAAAACTACCTATTAAATCCCATATTTTGTGAAAAACTACCTGATAAAAAAATGTTGCAAGAAATTACCTAACTAAATGTAAAATGTTGTAAAAGACTACCAAACGCCAGAAATTAAGTCAACGGGGGAATCCGGTACGTGGTAGTCTTTTACAACATTTAATACTTTATTTGGTAATACAGCATTTTTTTTATCAGGTAGTTTATCACAAAATCTAGGATTTAATAGGTAGTTTCTCAAAAAAAATCCATAATAACATAACAACCACCAAATGAATGCACCAAACACATAGAGAAAACCCACATCAAAGTATCAGATAGTAATAGGTAAAATCAGTCTAATATAAAAAGAGGAGAGAGAGAATCGCAGACATATTTAAAGTTCCATAATTTCCTCATTTAATAAGAACAATACAGAGAGTAGTCCTAGATCCTCTAACCAAGGAAGGTGTAGTAGCTCTTTAAAAAAAATTGAGGAACAAATATCAAGCTGAAAACCTACCGGACCCAGTCCACCAGTATATTGAGGGTTGTTCGCCATACAGCGATAAGATCAAAGCCCAAGGTTGACAGCAAACTGAAAGAACAAACAATAAAATACTTACATTACACATATACTCGGTGCAAAACCCATGGAAACTACTAGCTCAACATTAGCTGGTGCTAGAAATATCTGATTACACCAATTTTAGAGTCACATAGAGTTAAAAGTTAGTAAGCAACATGTAGTGCTCAAACCAATGATTCAATAGCTCCTACAACTGAAATCCCGATAGACAACACAAACAGATAGATAATTTTTTCCATTATATGTGACCAAGGAGAAAAATGTTCCTCCGATCAATGTAACAGTATTTAAACCACCAGTTTGCGACACATCTCACGCGAACATTAAAACCCTATAAGTGAATGATAGCAGAATCCATTTAATCATATTCCACTCAAAAGGAGATTCTCCCACAGGTTGTCTCTTCAACCCTTCTCCAGTCTTCCCTCATGTCTTGCTCTCTTCCTCTACCTAAGCCCCCCCCCCCCGTCCTTTATCAGTCTCTTAAAGCGAGCATCTTAACCGAACCCATAAAGGCTAGCAACCCTTTCAGGTCCATAATCTGGAGCTCACAACTTACTCAGACCACCAATTACTATGGTATAACTACTCTTTACCCAAGTTGGGGAAGAAGGAAAGAGACGAACGTCCCCGGATTACATGATCAATGAAATGCAACAGAATTCAGGCAAAATGGAGACTAAGGTTGATTGAAAACAATATTTCTTCTCCCCAATTCATCACATACATCATAGCCTAAATCATACAAACTCCTAAGACTCAGAAGAAACATCATACTCAGATTAATCACCCCCTCCAACAACAAAAAAATTCCAGAAAACAATTCAGCAATTCACCAATGCAAGAACACAACTTTCTGTATATTTCGAAATAATAAAGCATGCATAACATAAATTCACAGCAAAAAAAAAAAAAAAAAAAAAAAAACCAAATTCACATAAAAATCGCCCCTTGAAAACTAAATTAAATCAAAACCCACCACCAACAATTGTAAATAATTATAAATGCTAAAACTTTTAACAATCAAAACCATATATAACAGTTCAATTCAGCACAAAACACAATTGATTATAAAAAATCACAAGAAGCAAAAAAAATTCCAGAAGTATTCGACAATTACATCAAATTGAGGAGAGAGAGAGAGTGAAGAGAGAGAAGAAGAACCTGATTGAAATCAAAGTGAGGTTCTTCAGTGAGGGAGTTACGAATTAAGGTCTGATAATTAAACCTCCCAAAATATAAACCCCTCCAAGTTGAGTTTTTTTTTTTTTTTTTTCCGTCAAACACTGGCAATAATTTCAGTTTTGGTTTGTGACCCACTCTAGACTAGAGCCATATTTGGTTTAGGACTCTTGAGTCTTTTATAATGCCTATATTTGGGTTAGGACTTTTCTAGTTGCCCTAAAGTTAACCATAATCGTCTTCGAATACCCTTGGATATAAAGATATATCATTTTTAATTTTTTATTATTGCATATTTAAAAGTAGTAAAAAACTCCGATAATATATGAACCAGTATGGATGGTACATGTATCAGTATATAAGATTTTTATTTGTGTCGTGCACGTGTGCGTGTTGTAACTACAAACGCACGAGCATTACTGTGAAAAGTGCATGCAGCATGCATAATCATCAATGTGTATCATTCTTAATCTAATAAATTACTTTGTATATCGTACATTTGAAATTAAAGTAGACTAAGAATAAGATCTTCTGTAAAACGTGAACCAATATATATAGCACATGTGTCATTATGCAACAATCTTAATTGTATCATGCACGTGTGTTATTATTACAAACTCACGAGCACTACCGAGAAAAATGCATGAATACACATTTGCATATGTGTCAAAATGTATCAATCTTAATTTAGTATAGCGTATATTCGAAAGTAGAGAATAAGATCTCCAGTAACGTATAAACCAGTATGTGTTGTATTGCACGTGTCGATATGTATCATCCTTGATTTTTTCAAGCACGTGCACGTCTTGTTATTACAAACTCACAAGCATTAATGGATAAAACTGCCCAAGTTTACTTTTGCACAAGGTTCAATACTTCAATATGTTACATTTTTTGTGGGTAAGGAGACCAATCATACTTGACTGACACCTCTCATAGGTAAACCTACCTAATTACACAGGTCAGTCTATTAGGGAATGAGGGATAAGGTAATCTCCACCTCCAAGAACAGCAACTGGTAAGAATCAAACTCGTAACCTTAAGGTGAAACTCCTACTAACTACACCAAGTACTACTTAATATAGCGTACATTGGGCAGTAGAGAATAAAACCTTCGGTGATATATGAACCTTTAAGTATAGTACAAGTGTCAAATATGTATAATTCTTAATTGTTTCAAGCACGTGCGCGTGTTGTTAACTCACAAGTAATACTGAGAACGCCTGAATACACTCTTGCATTAGGGTTAATATGTATCACTCATAATTTATTATATCGTACATTCAAAAGTAAATAATAAGATCTCTAGTGAGTACGTAGTGACATATGAAGCCGTATGTGTATTACAAGTGTCAATATGCAACATTTTTAATTGTTTCAAATACGTGAATTGTTTATTACAACCCAATGAGCTTTATTAAGAAGTTAACTGGTCAATTGATAGAACCTTTCAAATTTTATTACGGAACCAACCTCTTTTTCTAAATTTCAATCAAGATAAAATAATTTTGCTGAAAAAAGAGCCGTAATTGATACTATTATTAAATGAGAGTGAATAAATGTAATTATATGAAACCATTATTAGCTTGCTCATTAATTACTTGAATTATATAAAACCATTATTAGCTTGCTCATTAATTACTCAAGATTACCCTAGGTAATTGTACAAGATTATGTTTTCCCAAGATGTAATAATATAATGGGCTAGGGTTCAAATCCGAAGTCCATTAATTTGTAACACTCCCTATGTCATTAAATCTAAGCAACGCACCTCATTACTTTATTTTTATTTTATTTTAATAAAAATTGATTCATAAATAAAAAATTATATGACATCTACAATAAGATTTATATCTAGCAAATATGGAGTACATGACAATAGTAACAAAGTAACAATTACTTGTAAGTTGTAATTAAATTAATACAGTAAGTAACAAAGTAAATTGCCAAAATGAAACACCATTTCTTTGTCAAAATGGGCTGTGTAAGATTGATCCTTGTGCTAGCAACTTAGCAAGGTTACAAGGTCTAATGTTAAAACCCCTACAACATCAAACTTCTTGTCCCTTGTTGAAATTGCTAATTATTTCTGACTTAAAAAGAAAACAGACATAGCAGTTATAGCACCATTTACTTGTACCTCTATTCGTTGCATTCACTTCTTAACTTCAAGCTCTAAAAGTCCAAAATTCTTCAATTTCTAGCTTCAATTTGCGCAACTGACTCACATACACAAATGATCAAAAAAACATCCAAAATCTTTTAATTTACAAGATTCAGGATGTCAAAAATGATCTGGAAGGAGATAACAACATAATTACAAACCCCTATTAGCACTTAACAATAATTACAAATCGCCTCTAAAATACGGCCCGTTGAAAAAGGAGCTTGAGAAGGTCCCTCCTCCATTTGGGAAGAGAGTTAAGAAGCATACAAGGAAGAGGACGACACCCCAGGCATATCGGTCATCACCTAATGGAGTTATCTCATCCTTAGCAGGAATTTCTTCTCCCCCTCGAAAGAAGGTAGCAAACAGTCCCCATGCTAGACAGATTACACTTCCGCTGAGACCACCAATACCAAGTAGCAAAGAAGTGGCGAATGACAGCAATGTGGCAGTGCTCCTACCAAACATGGCCTGTGCAATCCTACCCCCTTCAAGTCTTCCACAAGGCAACAAGTTCAGCGACGTCACCACCATCCCTAAGGGAAATAGGCAGTCAGAATCTTTCATAAAAAGCAACGAAATAGTATGATTACTGTCATAAAAATCAAACAGCAAGGCAGCAGGACCAACCTAAAAGCCCAGCGAAGGCAAGGGGATCAACTGGGACACCCACTCCTTCCACCGCATTAGGTAAAACATTTCCAAGATCATCAGCATAAGGCCCAATTACATATTGGATGAAAGAAAACAAAGGATTGTTCTCAAAAAATTGAGGCCTTACAAACCTGTAAAATCAAAAAGCACATCTTAATATGGGAAAAACATAAGGTTTGAAGAAATATATTTAGACTGCACCATGTTGATTATGCATACAAATGAACTTGAGTGCTACATAATCTTAAACAATAAGTCATTTAACTAACAATAACAGTCTAACATATGTTGTTACAGCTAAAGAATGAGTAGCTTGTTTTACACCAATTAAAAAAAGGTCCCATGTTGATGCATTCATGCATACAATACTACCTGACTACCTGTCTATCACATACTCTATCTATCCTAAAGTAAAGCTACAAGTTGAGGGAATCTATCAATAGTTGAGACATAATAACTACAAGAGCTGGTTTTATAAAGTGGTTGAGGAACCTTACAGTGCATTATCACCACCATTGAAGCTACCATCTGATATAAAGGCAGCAACAGCAAGCCCCAGGGAAGTCAAGTAGGCACTGGCTGTACGAGCAACAGGAATATCAAAAAGTGCCTTCTTATTTGGGAGGAGGGACTCGTAGTTGTTCATTACTCCCAAACACCCCGTCCAATTTGATGGAACAAGAAATGATGGGCTGAGCTTTACCCCATAGCGGTTTGCGGTCAACCTTGTGGCAATCTGCGAATACAAGTATCAAACAATGTGCCAGAATGTACATATGTTAGAAAAACTGAATAGTAAGAAAACAGCTAAATGCTACATTTCATAATTTGACAGTAACACGGGACATTATTAGTTTATTACTCTTTCCTTTTGACAAATTTTAAATCTAGGGATAAGGATAACATCTGGAAGAGAACAACTGCTATCACAACATGAGCTCTTTCCCTTCGAGACTCAAATGCGATAATATATGAGACAAGAAATAACATGAATACAAATGAACCTAATTTGCTATGTACTTCACAAACATTTAAAGAGTTTTGATTTGCCCATAAAACAGAAAAACGCAGCATTTTAGTATTCCAAGCCACTTAAAACATCTAAATCCAAAGATAGCAACTTATATTAAATCACACAATGATAGAAATGTCAGATTACAGAAAACGCAAGATTAAGCATGTCATAACACACCTCAGAAACGCCCAAGATGGTTAGGAAACCACCAAAAAGAGGTACAACATTAGCCAGGTAGTCATCGAACGTTGCACCCGGCTTGACAAAGAAACCACTCGTCAAAGCAATAGTTCCAAAAGTTGTAACACCCAATGCTATTGCACTAAGATAGCCCCAGGGAGTGCTCAGCTTCGTTGATTCAAACTGGAGATCAATTTCTGATTTTGGTTGCACCAAACAGACCTTTAAAGAAAAACAACAGGTAAGTTATACCAAGATGCAATAATCAACGACAAGCTTCATGAGGATGCAACAAACTAAGACCTCAGCACACAGAAAAAGTGGTGCATCATTTCATGCCATCAGATAAAGGACTAGCACTCAATTTGATCCAGGAAAATAAGAGTAAGCAACTTTGTGGAAGACAGAGATGGACCCACTCCAACGATTTCAGCCTAACTGTAATTTGAGATACTTTTTCTGTACACATCCCTTGAAGCTCGACAATTCTCCAAGCCACTACAGCATGTACAGGGATGCATTTATGTTACTGTATAGCATTATTACATCAACGTAAGGTTCTGCAGAACCTGAAACTCATATCTATCCACAAGCTTAATGTTTGCTTATTATATGAGTTCTTTCCTAGCTTCCTTAATTGAATTTTCAGACTTCATAGAGATATAACCGCATAAGCTCTGACTATAAATCCCTACTAAAGGTACCAAGTATTCAAGGCAGTATATATGCCCCAGCAATAAGAGAGAAGTTAATCTATTTTGACCAATTTACTCATGTTTCCAGTCTTTAAAGACACTAAACTAATTAAGCTTTCGTTTGCCAAAATTTAACATATTTCTAAATATGAGAGCTATCATCACACACATTATGACTTTATAAGCTTCCTTTGATTCAACAAGAGTATTAACGGAAACTTTAAAATATGATCATACTGAATTAAGCATTACCATAATACCATACCTGTTTTTTAATGTCATCCTTAGTCTCTTCCATAAACCATAACACAACCTCTGTCCCTGCTGCTTCAGACAATTTCTTCTCCAACTTTGGCATTACTTCTTGGATAGGCTTTCTCAAATTCCCTATGAAAATTCCCCCATCCCCAAATCTCCGGACGTCAGTCGCAAAGAAAGTATCAAATCCAAAGCAATTCTTCAACTGAAAATCACAAAATCATACAAATTCATTACCATCTAGATACTTCTCTTGAAATCAGTTTTCCAATTTTATTCCATTAGTCTATTCGAAGGTATAATCATTTAAGACCATTAACAAATCAATACCACAAACAATTTTATATATATATATATATATATATATATATATATATATATATATATTCTCACTCCTACTATCCAATTTTTCCTATATCAATTTCCAATTTTGCACTAATTTCACAAACAACAGTCTGACTAACAGTGATGGAGACCGGATTTGATCCAACTTATCAGTAACACAGGACATGATTTTAACCAACTAAGTTAGTCGAGCACTCGAGCTAGTCGAATTTAACTATCAACTACACGTCTAAATAAACCAGCAATTAATATTACGCAAAATAGAGAAGGAAAAAGGAAAAATTCGAAAAAAGACCTTATTAAGATCAAGTGCTTTGAAGGCTTGTTCAACTTTCTCCAAAGTCTCTTTCTCTCTCAACAAATTATCGCGAGCAATTCGATTGAAAATGCCAACAATCGGATTATCACTCTTACTCTCAGCATCAAGCTCCTTAAGCTTCCTATCAGCCCTTTTCTTCTCCAGCTTAATTGCAGCTTCAATTGACGGATTTCCCATAAATTTCTTGAATTCTTCATCAGTTTTCCAGTCCAATTCCTGCTGCTTTGGCTGATCATCATCTTCATCATTTTTTTCTTCTTTCTGCTCAACCCCTTGTTCTACTTTCTGGGTATCTTCGTCTTTCTTTGAATCTTCATCCACAACAACAGCTACAGAAGAACTCTCTGTTTCTCTCTCATCTTGCAGAGAGAAGCAGAGTTTTCCGGGTTTTAAGGGTTTGGGGAAAGAAAAGGAGAGAGAAAATGGGTGGTGGTAGTGAGAAGTGGAAGCAAATGAGGGAAATTTTTGAGTTTTGTTGGAGACCCATGATGAAGAAGGTGGAGAAATGAAGAGTGTAGCCATTGAAATTTGAGATTGAGACTGAAAATTGGATGATTGAATTTGGACATTGTAGAAGAAAACAGAGAAGGGTTGGAATTTGAAGGGATGATTATGGGGTACATTCTGGGGATTGATTGAGTCTGGAAAGTTGGAGAAGATTCAGTGAGTTTCACAGGTGGATGGTGATTTGACAGTGACGACAAAAGGAGTCTCATTTGGAGAAAAAAAAAATTCGAAAATGATAAATGCTGGATTTTGTAAATTTGTACCCGCGCATGAGGATGCCAGGATGGTATGAGAAGGTTAGGCGGGGATAGGAAGACTTAATAATTAACATCTATCCCGTTCTGTCTTATAAGATATCCCTAATTGTATTTTTTGTAAGTTTGGTTTTCCTCGTCTTTTTGCAAATTTTAACAATGGATAAAGATAAAGTTTCAACAATGGAGAAATTTCATTACTTGATTCGCGTTATTTAATAATAAGATACCTAATAAAAAATACAAAACCCAGCAAGCTTGGTTAAGTTGATGGAGAATTCACCTTGTGACTTTGAAATCATGAGTTCGAGCCTCACCAACTATAATTTACTTGGGAGTAATTATTCCTCAACATTTCACAATACTATTATTTATAATTGTTGTCTCCTTCCGTATCCATTGCTCACCACTTTAGTCAGTTGCTCACCACTTTAGTCAAGTAAGAGTTTGATTCAAAGATAAGTGTAAAATTAGACCAAGAGAGCATTATAGAAAAGGTGAATTTTCCCTATACAAAAATTGTGGAGTAGAATTTTTAAATATTGAGACATAATCTACCATTACTTGCTAGAATTTAATTATTTTGAAATTCTGATAACTTTTCTAACTTGTAGATGAGGTCTCTCACTACCTTGAGTGGATCGATGGCTTATGTTATTGGATGATTATATTTTCCGGAACTTAATAACATAAACAAAGAATATAATTGCAACACTTTGAAGTATGTAAAAGTGAATAGGATGCCATTGAAACCCAACAACTCATATAAGATTCGCTCAATTGCATTGAGGTTTATGCCAAGATTAATGGTCGTATATCTTTTTAAAAAAATTATTAAGGGTATTACTATTTTTGAAAAGTAAAAGCATTTTCGTTAAGACTTTTTATCATGAAATGTTTTTTTTTTTTAACGAAATGAAATGGTGTTTTTAAAGGTTGCAAAAGCTTAAAAGTTTTAATAAATATTTTATTCAAGGTAGCAAATTACTCTTGTCAAAAGAAATTGGGTTAGACAATTAGACTTGAGTCCAAAAGTAATTAAAATTTAATTAACAAGCTCAATGAAATCTTCAGCCCACTTATACCTATTTTAATTAAACTATTATTAAAAATTGGTAAAAGTTAACAAACGCCCCAAATAAAATAGCTAAAAGTAGAAATAATGATTTAAAATGAACATTAATTACACCGATCAACGTGTGATTTTGACATGCAATTCTAAATTAATAATTATTTGGAAATTGTTTTAGATGATTATCTACCGCCTCGGGGGCGTTTGTTAGCAAGGTCATTAAAATTTCTATTTGTACTTATTTTTAAAAAATAAAAATATAAAATTCTATTCGTAATTTATAAAATGAACGATTTCCATAAAAATTGCTTAAATGTAAATTAATTCCGTATTTGCGTCGGTTTAAAAACTTATTCCCACCATAGTGTCCACGTAGTATTGGTGGAAGCTTTGTTATTATTTTTTTAAAATTCTGGTTCAACAAAGGACCGCTAACGGTGATAACGCTTTTATACATTAAAACCGCAAACACCATTAGCGGTTATTGTTACAGGTTATTATTTTAACTATATGAACCACTAATGGTGTTTGCGGTTTTAATGTATACAACCGCTATCACCGTTAGTGGTTCTTTTAATTATGCCCTTTTGTTTTTAGAGGTTATCATTTTAATTGTAAGAATTGCTAATGGTGTTTGTCGTTTAAATGTATAGAACTGTTATCACCGTCAGCAGTTCTTTGCTAAACCATAATTAAAAATATATATATATAATTAATAAAGCTTCAAATCAACACAAATAGGGAATTAATTTGCAATTTTTAGGGAAATTGTCCATTTATGGATAAGTTTTGATTCCTGCCTGCGGCTGTGCTCTCATATCTCCCAAACACAAATCCTGATCAAACAAATTTTTTTTTTTTTTTTTTTCTACTGTGTTTCTCAAAACCAACCATGAAACTAAGGCTAAGATCATTTGAATCCAAAGAAACTCATAAAATTGAAGTTCCCAATACTTTCAATCTTCAACAACTCAAAGAATTCTTCTTCCTCCAACTTTTCCCTTCTTCATCCTCTGCTCTGCAACACCAGAATCTGCTCTTATCCCTCAACAGGAAGGAGGAGCTTTGCGGATCTTCTCCAGAAGATTCTATTCAGTCTCTCGGCGTTACTTCAGGTGATCTTATTTATTATTCCACAAACCCTTTTGCATTTTCATCTCAAATCCCTAATTCATCAGGAAATTCCCGGGAAACTAGAGTTAATATTGAGGAATTTAATGAATTGGTGAATACCCAGAAAGTAGATTCTGGTAAATTGGATGAATTGGACGTTCCTAGCGTTGAATTTAGGGATTTGAATGATGCCCAGGTGGAAGGAACCTCGAATTTGACTAACCCTAATGATACTGGAAATTTAGAAAATACCCAGATGATTGAATTCTCTAAAGTTGATGAATTAATTGGTTCGAGCGCTCGAACTCGAGAAATTGTGGATGCCCAGTTGGAAGGTTCATCAAATTTGAATGATCCTAATGTGGAAAATTCAATTGACTTAGTTGAGGAGATTGATGGAATGGAGGTTGATGATGAATCTGAATCAGATGGAAATTATAGGTTTTCTGTCCCAAGTTTTTTGAAGAAAGTATATGTGAAGGAGGTAGGAGATGCTGCTGCTAATGGTGATCATAAGCTCTTGGTGATTGCTGTTCATGCTGTTCTATTGGAGTCTGGATTTGTGGCATATGACTCGGTTTCGCACAGGAAAGTTGAGGGATTTCATCTGGCTGATGTTTGGCCCTCTTTAGCTTTTGGTATGACTTTGCATTATACTCTACCTGAGGTTTCAACGTCTGAGGTTGTTGAGACTGTTGTTTTGAATTTCCAAAGTATGGGAAAGTTTGTGAATATATATGGTTCTTTGCCAAAGAAAGGATTTGGGGTCCATCGAGTGTGCTTGGATGAACCACGGTTCCTCCCGGCTTTGAGTTTTATCTGGAAAAGGGGTGATGATAGTCGTTCTCATGATGAGATGGATGACTCCAAGAAGTTATCCCCAAATCAAGAGATTTTTGAGTTCTGGAAGATTGTCAAGGATGGCCTTTCATATCCTCTTCTAATCGACCTTTGTGAACGAGTGGGTGTAGTCCCTCCACCTTGCTTCATGCGCCTTCCCACGGAGCTTAAACTTAAGATCTTGGAGTCCCTTCCTGCAGTAGATGTTGCCAAAGTGGAATGTGTTTGTTCAGAATTGCGATTTGTTGCTTCAAACAATGATCTGTGGAAACTAAAGTATGAAGAAGAGTTTGGAAACACTGCATTATCACAAAGGGAACGTCAATGGAAGGCAAAGTTTTCTTCTGTTTGGGAGATTAGGAAAAGGAGAAAGAAAATTTGTAGACCATTGCAGTTCCGAGAGCCTCCCCATTTTAGGCCTTTATTTCCAGGTCGAAGGGATCCAAATCTCCTCGGCTCTCCTTTCATAATAGGTGGAGATTATGATCATCTGCCAACTTTTGGTCTACCTCAACATCCAGGGCGCAGGACATTCAGGCGGAATTATGACCTGGGAGGGTTTTGTCTTTAAGCTGGATTGGAGCTGAATTGATAAGGTGGAATTTCAGTCATTTACTGGTGGCTTACTAGAAGTTCGTTAGTTTGCATAGGGTACTCCTAGTTTTCATGGTGTTTTTATAGTAGTGCGAAAATTTTATGGTTTAACTTTCAGTTCCCTGTCTGCTCAGATTTGTATTTTACCGTTTAGCAGGGTAGTTTTTGTTCTTAAGCTCTGGTTGAATGTTATGACTTGTTCTATGATACAATTTGCTTGAAATAATTATAGAAGTAGCTTAAATCTGAAAGTCAGCCACTAATCGAGTATAACTAGTAGCTAATTTATCATATTTGAAGTCCAAAATCACAGATATGGAGAATTGGAGAGTATCAAGCAAACTTGTAAACATGCTACTTGATTACGCGTAGGTTCTTTTGTCAAACAAAGTAGATTCTTAACCTCTGCATTTGTTTACAGTTAAATTTGTTCTCGTATATTTCTGTGACATCTTATGGTATGATTTAGTGCACATTCACTACATTGTACATGTACTATGTGGTCATGTTTTAGGCTTGTAGTCAGTAGTTCTACGGATCAATCTGAGTAATGATTAGCCTTACAAAAACTAAACACCATATGGAGTATCTTGCAATGTTATGGAAGCTAAATACTCGTATTATTTTTTATATAACGTAAAGCATCTGTGTACTAATATGAATATACTTCTTAACTCTCATACAACTTTTACTAAACACATTTTTTTTTTCTACTATAAATTGGTAACTAGATTTAATCCCGTGCGATGCACGGGTCTCTATTAATAGTTAGAGTTAACATTTAATATTCAATCGTAATAACAAAAATATTAATACATAATATTACTATTTTTTAAATCTTATACAATTAAGGTTCACACATATATAAACACGGTATATTTTGTAAATTTTTTGTTTAAACAACAAAACAAGCCAATTCTTGAATAAAAATAGAAATAAAATAAAATTTAAAGCTATATATATTTGTTTAACCAACTTATTTTCAAATTGTGTCTACGGTGAAACATATGATCTTTTAGGCTTCCATCATCCTTTGTAAATCAATCGTTGATCGTGTCAGTTGATAAGTTGCATAATTAAATCCGCCCCCTTACAAAATTAACATCTGATCACCGTTCATCGCGGTCAAGAATATCACGTTTTACGTTTATTTGTGTGGGATATTAGATGAGTTTATATAGGATTGAAAAAATACTGAATTAAAAGTAGTGATAAATTTATTATTACATATGATAAATTTTGTTAATATACTTGATCTTTTAGCCGAAAAAATGATAAATAATAATTTTTTTATTTTTTATTATAATCCTACGTAGCGCTTTAAAAAAACTTATCTTACGTGGCATAATTCTATTGTACCATATTAAAAATAGTAATCCTACGCGGCACTCTAATAATTTTTTGAAAATTAAAATCCTACGTGGCGCTCTTAAAACTCGGGAAAAACTCCCCTTTATATATAATATATATATACTAGTTTTGTGTCCCGGGTGATGCCCGGGTTGTTTATTGAATTTTAGGATAAACCTTTTGGCTTGATGTTAAATACGGTCATATAATTAGTTTTGATAACGCAGGATATTTAGACATGCAATATCATACTTAAATTATTTTTACTAAACTGAAAGTATTTTTAACGATTAAAACTTATTTTTGCTAATTCTCTATTATTTTAAATATATTATAAATGGATCTTATTTTAAAGAACCTTTTAAAATGAATTTTATGATGGAAATAGAACCGAGTTATTAGATTTTTATTGAAAGTTACGATTAATTTTGTATATATGAAATATTAGTAGTGTATCGATAATAAAACTCTATACAACATTTTTATCTTCAAAAATCTATCCAAAATTCGATTATTTACGGGCGATGCCCAGATGGTTGATAAAATTTTAAGATAACATTTTAACTTGAATGTTAAATACGGTCAAATAATTCGTTCTAATAATATAGGATATTTGGACATACGATATCAGATGGAGTGTACTTTGTATAGTTTTGTTTGTAAATAGATATCTATGTTATTATTGACTTGAAATTATTTTTACTGAAGTAAAAGTATTTTTACCAAAGTAAAATTATTTTTATCGATTAAAACTTATTTTACTGATTCTCTAATATTTTTTTAAAATAAATTGAATAACAATGCATTTTGTATGTGACTAACCACACCATCTGTCCGGACAAAGTAACCCCTATAAAACTGATCGAGTGACCCTTGTAATACTAACTGAGTAACCTCTAACATTGACTAAATAACCCCTATCTATAACACTGATTGATTAACCACTATAACACTGACTAAGTAACTCCTATAGCACTGATGAAGTAAATATGATCTTGTAATAGTTGGTGACATAGTTTGGCTAGCTATGTATAAAAGTTTGTGATTAAATATAGGATTAATACTGGTTTTTTAATCCCAACTTTGACCAATTTATTTTATTAATCCCAACTTTGGATTATTCCTCAATAATCCCAACTTTAAGGTGGGTTATCATTCTTTATACCCAAACCGGTCAACAAAAGTCAACAACCTTCTATTGTAGGTTGTTGGACACGTGTCGCCACGTGAGTGGTCCATTTTTTAAATTTTTTTTTACTGAACCAAATTTCTTTTTTAAAAAACAAAAAAATTTCCTTTGGATTGGTCTAAAAATAAAATAAAAAAAAAAACTAGAAAAAAAACCCCACCATAACCCCTACCTGACCACCGTAACCCCAACCCCCACCACCACCTGCCGCCAGCTGTCCGCACCGACCCCTCCCTTCCCCTGTCCCAATGTTGCGCCGCTTTCCCCCTAATCCCCCTGTGTCGGTGCTGCGACCCACCTCCACCTCCACCCCCAATCCCCTCCTTTTCCGATTCGATTTTCCGCCAACCACAATCAAAACTCCGTTTAATCCTCTCTAACCATTCGAAACACCCTCGAAACCCCTCCCCCACTCCCGAAAACCCCCAACAGCCACTTCCTCACCGTCGAAAACCTTAGCCGCTAGGGTTTCGAGGTAACCGGAGTGGTGGTTGGAAGTTTTCGAAAGGGGGGGTTTATTGACGTTTGCATAGAGGTTTCGGGGGTGGTTGGTGGTTTCAGGGTGAGGGGGAGGGGAGTCGTTGGTTTAGGGGGAGGGGGAGGGTGGTTGGCACGACGCTCCGGCTGGGGGCCAGGCAGGGGGTTGGGCTGGTGGGGCTGCGTGGCCGTGGAGGTGGTTGGGCTGGGTGGATTTTTTTTTAATTTTTTTTTTATATTTTTAACCAATTAATTTGTGACACGTGTCACTTTAACAAAAAAAAAAAATTAACCCATTCAACCGGTAACTGGTTTTTGGGATTGAAGAATGATAGGCCACCTTAAAGTTGAGATTATTAAGGAATAATCCAAAGTTGGGATTAATGAAACTAAATTGGTAAAAGTTGGGATTAAAAACAGTATTAATGGATCTTATTTTAAAGAACTTTTTAAAACGAATTTGATGATAGAGTTGAGTTATAGGATATTTATTAAAAGTTATGATTAATTTTGTATATATGAAATATTAGAATTTTATCGATAATAAAACTCTGTGCAACAATTTTATCTTAAAAAATCTATTCAAAAAGCGCTTACTTAGCATCATATGTGTCACAATATACATATTTATCACCCACGTGACGCGACACTTGGCGAAAAACTGAAATGCCAAGTGTCGCTGTCTCGTGGCCTCACTGCGAGACCGACTTTAATTATTAGTGATATATGATATGATTAGATTAGATTTGCATATCTTTTTTATTCTCCCATAGACTCATATAAAGATGATTATGGCCTTATGGGGTATGTTGGAACCGCGTGCTTTAGGCTTGGCAACACCTAGTCCATGAATGAACATACTTCGTACTTGTTATGTCACGTGACTCATGTCAATTACACTCTCCGCTTCGCAATAATCGCAACACTTTTCTTTTACATCCGTTTTATAATTTTTGTAACATTTTCTTATTTGATAAGGACCTATAACTATCTAAGCTAAATATAACATGTTTAGTTGCTTTATCATGTTATTTCTTTTGTAGTCCAAGCTCGGCCCTTGGCCTAGCACACATATCGTGTGTGTGGAATGCTCATCTCGCAGCCCTGCTTTGCTTTCATCGTAAGGGCAAGCCCGGTCCAGTGTCATCTTTAGTCTCATACGAGTATCCACGAAGAAAAAGTCTCAAATTTTCCTCTAAACAAATCCACCCACTTGCTATTCCATACAGAGTACTATACTGTAAACTTGTAAAGTACTCCGTAATTCGTATGCAATGAAGGAGCTAATCACGGAACCAAAAGCAGGAGAGTAAGTTCATCAATGGCGGCATCCTCCATTTCTCTCTCCTCCCTTTCGTTCCTCCGATCTCCTTTTCATCATCATCTTCAACATCAACATCAGCATTTTCTCTCTCCTCCTCATCAACTCCATCTCCTCCGAACCTTTCCCACTCTTCAAGCTTCTCGCCGAAGTTCCTCTCAGGTTTTTCTCTTTCAATTTCTGATCAATTTTATCTTTGATTAAGGATTAATATATCCTCAATTAACATATGATTTCATGAATTTTTGATTAATATATTGCGAATTTGCAGAATGATGATTTGATAAATAGTAGCCGAAAATGGAGCCGATTCGATTTTGATGGATACGAGGACGAAGACGACGATGAAGAAGATGAAGAAGACGAAGAAGAAGATCGAAGCTTAGATTTATTGATTAGGTTTGTTGAAAATATCTTCAGAAAAGTCTCTAAACGAGCTCGTAAAGCTGTTCGATCAGTTCTTCCTGTTGCTATCTCCACCAAATTGGTTCGTGTTTTTCTTGTTGATTTCTCTTTTGAAGTTTGGTTCTTACATTATCAATCAATTGATCAAAAAAATGTAGTTGCTTTGAATAATCCTGAATTTTACACTTGATTTTTGTTGGTATAATTTTCGCAATTGATGAATACTTACATTGGTACAATGGTATGATATTAACAATTATGATTGTTTTGGTTTGAATAGTATGATTATAGTAGCATATGTTTTTTCATTGATTAATGATCATAATTTAGGTTATTCAGGGGTTTATGTTGTTCTAAGTGTTACTTTTGTTGTTTAATAGGTGGGATTTGCTGTCAATGGACTGATAATTTTATCATTTTTGTGGGTGTTGAAGGCTTTTCTTGAGGTAATGGATCAATTGCACAAATTAGAAATACATTATATGAAGTATTACTTATATTGTTTGTCATATCATTGCTGTTGTACTCTATGGTGGCTGTTGATATATCTCTAACTTGTGAACCAGAGTTGATAGTTAGAGACTTAGAGGACGATTGTTCGATGGTTTTTTTTCATCATTATGATGATACGGGAATCTTTTATACAACTATTAACTGCATGATTAGATATGTAATGTGCGGGTTGTAATAAAATGGATCGATTAGTTATGTTAAAACTAGATATTACAAATGAGGGAAGGAAGTGTTAGTCTGTTAGATGATCTCTTAACTGCAATACTTGCATTAAAAAAAATAACGAAATGCTTCAGCCTTCAGGCATCTATGTGAAATTACATAAAAACTGTCAACTTGTGTTTTATATGGGAGGTGCTATTACAGGCTGTTTCATCAGATGAATAATCCAACCAGATGCTCCTGATAACATACTAGCAAAACTTTGAACTAATTAGAACCCTAACATCCTTAACTCGACTAAAATTAGAAACGTGATTGGGTCTTGTGAAAGGTGCAAGTGTTTACTATTCCCCCTATCTAGTCAATTCTGGCTGTTATGATCAAGTGCATGTGATGATTCCTATGTTGATCTGTTAGCAAAATTGTGAAATTCATTTTACATTTAGAAAAGCTCTAATTGTCTAATGCATAGATTCATAAGGCTAAGCTGAAACACTTATATTTGTCAATTGTGTAAAGATTAGTTGATACAATTTACATAAGTTCACTTGTTACATTTGATACACCTCTCCTTGATTGAGTTGTTTCCTTCATAGACCAAACGGAGTAAAGTTGAGTTTTCCATTTGGAATTATGTCACAGTTTTGTATGCATGTTCTGCCTGAGACATGAATCTACCATCTTTGTGCATATTTTGGTCCAACTGAGTTGTTTTATTTTATAAGAATTCTATGCTTGATAAGTAGACTATTCAGTCACCAATGGTGGGCGTAGTAAAGAAAATTGAGATTTGTTTTAATTGACTTTGTTGTGCTTTATACATGATATGCTCTTCAGGCTTGCTCTCATCAGTCTCATGGGTGCATGCTGTTTTATTTTTCTGCTGTCATGTGTTGATTATAGAGGTATTGTTGTTACCTCAACTTATCTAATTCGTTTCCTTTCACTTCAAAATGCAGGTCATTTGTACTCTCGGAAGTGTAGTGTTTGTGAGCATTTTACTTATCCGTGGGGTATGGTCTTGTGTGTTATACTTACAAGAAGGTCGCAGCCGTCATATAAACGGATTTGATGATGATGATCAACCTTCATGGACTAGAGCCCAGCCTGTAACTTGAGTGCTCTGCAGCCTTTCTAATCCTTTAAAAGTCTCACTCTGGCATTTAAACATGCTTCTGACCTTTGGAAAATAAAGAATATACGCGGTTGGCTATCAAAAATAATAGTCTTTGTCAAGAGCCAGTTTTGGCTGGATGCACGAGACCATCTGATCATGCAGCCTGCAGGTGCGTGAATGTCTTTCTCAGTCAAGCTTTACGAAAGGGGATACTTTTCTGCCAAAGAGGATGGGCTTGGCCAATATTTTTTTAGAGTTTGAAGCCCCTGTTTGCATAATTGCATTCTTAACATTTTAAGTCGTTGCACTGGCTTGTAAGTTTAATGATCAGTTTTTGCTCTTCTTAAAAATGATCAACCAACAATGTAAATTCCAACTTCTTATGTAAGCTTAGAGTTCGTGGCAAAGATCATAATGCTACTTTGTAAAGCTAAATGCCTTCCATTTTGGGAGAAAAATAGACCATGATGGTGCCAAAGACCGAGACCATAGATGTAACAATAACATATACAAAGTACGTATTACTTCCTATTTTATGATCAGGTTTAATCAAGCGATAGTCTTCAAACTTTTCGATTTTATCAAGCAATAATCTTCAAAACTTTTCGACTTAAACATATGCAAGTATCGTACTGTACAATGCTATCTGCACTTCAAGACATGGGGTGAACTTCCAATCTCCTTCACCCAATTTAGATCCATTATCTTGAACGGTTAATAAACAACTATCTCAGCAAAGATATTAGACGATTTTTTGTAACTTTGAAATTTTTTTGGTGAAATTTGGTTGGTTTAAATTTGTTAATTGTCTAAAGTTATTACTCCATAGTCTATACTCCTTCCGTTTCGCATTAGTTGCAACACTTTTCATTTTCGGCCGTTTAATATTAGTTGCAACACTACTATATTTGGAAAGGACCCACCATTATTTTATAATTTCTTTCTCCCACTAACCCCACTTTCACAAATATTTTATTATTTCTCTTTCCTACCAACCCTACCCACACTACTATTTTTATCTCTTACTAACTATACTTTATATTATAAGCCTATAAGTCTAGTCTATATTTTTCTTAAACTATGAGTCAAACCTACAGTTGCAACTAATGCGAAACGGAGGGAATAATATTTATTTATATGGCTTAGTCTTGCTCTAGATCATAAACAATGCTCTAATTATGTATTAATGAAAATCATATACTCTTATACTAGTAAAATTCATTGAAACGAATCAGACATATGTTTTATCTTATTTAAGTAATTGATGAGTTTACTTAAATTATTTTAAATATGTGAAACTCTGGTACATAAAAGAGATTGTCAAAGGAATGTTTAGATTTTTTTTGTTTTAAAAACATTTAGGTATGACAAATGCAATTTTTTTTAGGTGTCTATAGATACGTACAGGTATATGTTTGTAGATGCTTGTAAACAAGTTTTTTTTAAAAAATGGACAAATTATAAAATTAATGTTCATAGTTTGTATGTTTTTCAGTTTTTCCCCCTTAGTTATCTTTGACGGTCTTTCATAAAATAAAAAGCTGATTGTTCAAATGGACAACAAGGCTTGCATAGGCGTTGCAAAATGATCAGATACTAGGCGGAGAATGAGTGCATGTGTTATCTCAATGTCATAGTTTAATTAGTTCATTTGGTAAAAACTTTTTTATTTTTCATTGTTTTCGCGAGGGTAATAGAGTAGCGGATCGACTCGTCAATATGGGAGTCATTCTAAGAAGAGGGTATTATTTATTTCGATGTTCCTCCGATCGAAATAAATAATTTGCTTAGGAAGGATGTTGGTGGGGTGGCTTGGCCACGGCTTGTAGCTTGATCTATTTCCTTGCTTTAATAAATGGACTTGGCCCTCATTTGCATCAAAAAAAAAACTTTGATGGTCTTTCATGGATTCACTTGTGTGGTTACACGGTTTTTACAACTTATTTGTATACTTTATTCCTAATTAATATAGCTAAAAAAATGGTGAATGAGTGGACAGTTGGACACTAGTCCTACTACACATCAGTATTATCCTAATAAAGACATAATTTCAAAAAAAGAAAAAAATAATAATGCAGTATTCCGCAATTAGATTCAGAGTAAAACGAAATATTCTCTTGATTCACATCCATATAACTGATGATTCTTTGATTGTTACATATTCATTTATAGATTCCTTGGTTGTTACAATTTATCACCTTGGTCAAATGCATGAATTAGATAAATTAACAAAATTTGTCAAAATTCAAATATTTTCAGTAGTATATTTGTCATCTTTTTTTTATTTTGAAAAAGATCATAGAAACTTAACAAAAAAATAAAGTAATTTATGAATTCAAGATGGACTTTTGGACTTTAGGTTACCATATTTTTTTCGATTCGACCATTAGATGACCACATAATTGCAATTTGTCCACCTTTCATTAAACTTTCCTTCATAAATTCACATATTAGCTATTCCTCTTTATAAATATATTCATTTTTTCATTTTAGGTTAAAAAATCAAGTCCAGGTAACCTATGATTTTTTTTCCCAAAAATAAATTTATGGTCTTATAAAAAAAGAAAGGAATAACAGGCCAAAAATCCCAAAATTATATATATAGCTGCATTAGATCTACTAATTCCTGAAAATTCTCATCTCAATTCTCAAGCACACTCTGAAAAACACAAAACCTTTGTTGGCCTAGTTTCACTCCTTTCCTTGTACTCGTAATACCAAAAACCAAAATGAACATAAGTTCGCCTTTAGAATCAGGTAGGCTTTATGCATCTGATGTCGACGATGATGGCCGTGCCAAAAGAACAGGTATATCACCTCAAATCGTCCAACTTTTAGATCCAAATTCGTCACATTGTTACAATCTTGTTTGCATATCAAATTACGAAATATATATTAGATTGTTACTGACTTCTCTATTTTTGCGTGTGTTTTTCGTGGTGTAACGAAGGTACATGGCTTACCGCAAGTGCACATATCATAACAGCCGTCATTGGATGTGGAGTTCTATCATTAGCATGGGCCGTGGCCCAAATGGGTTGGATCGCTGGGCCCATTATTCTTCTCGTGTTTTCACTTGTTACGTGGTTTGCATCTGCGTTACAGGCTGACTGTTACAGAAATCCTACCACCGGCAAGAGACATTACACTTACAGAGAGGCTGTAAGGTCTATTCTAGGTATAAATTTATGCTTGCATTTTGAAGATTTTTTATGTATATAATTAAATTAAATTATTATTCGTCGATTTTTTTTGGTTAATTATATTTAGTGTAGGATTTGCATTATGTTCTCGCATTTGTATTATGGATCGTGTTGTGTTGGGATTTTTTTTTTTTTAAAGTAATGGGGTTTATGTTAGGGTTTAACTGATTCTGGTTAATAGCCTAATCATCCCTTTACAATGTGAATGAAAAAGATAAGTATGTATTTTTTGTATGGAAAAGAATTAGGTGGTGTTTGGCTAGGTATGAGGTTGGGGTGTTATCATTTTGTTTTAAAATGGTATGGGAATTATCATAAAAATGGTTAACATTATTTTTGTTGTTGAATCTTGGGAATATATGAAAATAAATATATAATTGAAATTATTTCCTCAATAAGTCATTGAAAATAATTTTAATTTAAAATAATAATAATTATAATTCTAATTTTAGTAACCACGACCATATTGATCATTTGATCTCTAAATGAACTTATGGTGAGGTGGGTAATGTTGATCTAAAATGGTGATACGTTTTTTAAAAATGAATGACAAACGATTAAGAGCCATTAACTAAAAATAATACAAACATTGTTTCTTTGATAAGGTTGAAAATTATAATTATTCAGTTAAATTATATTTCTTTTCATGAATTCCCAAGATTTGACAAAATTAATAGTGTTTAGATTGAGCGCTGTAATTTTTACTACAGTTTGGATATAGGTATTTTGATTCTCTTAGGAAATATGCCAAGGGGTAGGCTCTAGGCAGGAAGTTTTAGGTAAGGACGGAATGAAGGACTAACAAATGAAGCAAAAAGATTACAAGATGTTAATTATTATGTAATCCAACACTTAACGTAATGTGATTTACATTTTACACACCCTTGATCGGGATCTTTTGATGAAATTGAGTTAAAACATCATACACATTTCTCTTTATTGAAATACTCGTAAATTAAATTCATACTCCATTTGAGACTTTGACGTAAGGTACATGTATGATATTGGGTGATACTAATGCATGTTACATTGACATGTATGAATAGGTGGAAGAAAATTCAAGTTATGTGGCATTGCTCAATATTCCAATTTTGTTGGAGTATCAATAGGTTATACAATCACCGCATCTATAAGCATGGCGTAAGGATTTTTTATAGATTAAGCTAAAATTTTAATTTAAATTAAGATGTATAATATAATGTTTGTTTTTAATTACTGTAATTTTCAGGGCTGTGAAACGAGCTATATGTTTCCATAGGATGGGGCATCAAGCAGGATGTCACACACATAATAATCAATTTCTCATTATATTTGGAATTTTACAACTATTGATGAGCCAACTTCCCAATTTTCACAAGCTTTCATGGCTCTCTATTGTCGCGGCTGCCATGTCATTTGGTTATTCTTTCATAGGAATTGGTCTTGCCATTGCCAAAGTTGCAGGTAACTTACACTCAGAATTGCTCATTGATGTGTTATTTTTATAAGCCAAGTATGATAGATTGTTCCTTTATTCGAATTTACATGATGTTAGCAGCTTGTTTCTTAATGCATACTCATACTTGATTAGTTAACATTGTACACACAAATTGTGTCTCTAAAAATGTACATGACTCGAAGTTTATGACAAAAATATAGTTAGTGTACAACTCTTAGAATGCAGGACAAATGTACTTAAATTTTATTGTATTGTCAAATTAATAGCAGTTCTTTGTACATATTGATGTAGGTGGAAGCAATGCAAGAACATCCTTTACTGGAGTAGAAATTGGAGTAGATGTTACCGCGGCACAGAAGATTTGGAATATATTCACAGCATTGGGAAACATGGCCTTTGCTTATGCTTTCTCTATGGTTCTCATCGAGATACAGGTTAGTTATAATCCACGATTACGTTTCTATTTTTAGTTTTTCCCTAAACAATTAGTTGTATTCATCAAAATCGAAATCAAGTCATCCTGTTCAATTAATGTGTGGTTTTTGTGACAGGACACACTAAAGCCAAACCCTCCTGAGAACGTAGTTATGAAGAAATCAATATCAGTTGGGATTTTGATCACCACATTTTTTTACTTGTTGTGTGGAGTAATGGGTTATGCTGCATTTGGGAATGATGCTTCTGGAAATTTCTTAACTGGTTTCGGTTTCTTCGAACCTTATTGGCTCGTTGCCCTTGCCAATATCTTCATTGCTGTCCATCTTGTTGGAGCTTACCAGGTAATTAATATACACTGTCATATTACTTACACGAGTTTGTATTCAATGTTTATGGTGAACAGAACAAGGCCTAACTCGTGATCAATATGCTGTTGGACAGGTATTTGTGCAACCCCTTTTCGACTTTGTAGAGACACAATGCACCACGAAATGGCCTGAAAGTAAGTTCGTGAATGCGGAATACCCCGTGAAACTACCTCTATATGGTTCATACACATTTAACTTCCTCAGATTTGTCTGGAGAACAGCATATGTCATACTAGTGACAATAGTTGCAATGATCTTCCCCTTCTTCAATGATATTGTTGGCTTAATCGGGGCGTTTTCGTTTTGGCCACTCACAATATATTTCCCTATAGAAATGTACATTGCACAAGGCAATGCTCGCAAGTATTCTTGGCGGTGGATTTCGCTGCAAGTCTTGAAATATGGTTGCTTGATTGTTTCCCTTGTGGCTGTGGTTTCTTCGGTTCGAGGTCTTGTTGTTGGTGTTCAAAATTTGAAGCCATTTCAATCTGTTTCTTGATCGATGTATATCTATTTGATTAGAAGTTAGAACATTTTTCCCTTTCACGTTAGAACATTTTTATTATGTATGCCAACACCATTGGGGGTCAATTTAATCCTTAATTTTATTGTGCCACACAATATTCATTAATGGAATACTAGCTTAACATTTCATCTTGAAATTGTGCATTCAACTGTTTACACTGTTTGATGTTTGTCTCCTTTAATTATCTTTTAATTATTATAGTAACGTATTAACATATAGTGGTAATTATACTTAATTAGCTCTTAACAAAAAATTTTAGAAGATCAAAAAGTTTGAGACAGTGAAAATGGGCCATAGTAGAATGGCCTACGAGAGTCAGTGTTCCAGACTAGCTAAGAATAATATTGATCCTAATATTGATTTTATTAAATTGTGAACAAACTGTAAGAACTTCACAAACTATATACCCAAATGATAACATCACAATTTCACGATATACCTTTAGTTAGTTGTAGACTTGTAGTTATCATGTAACAAAATGATGTAATTTGCCTTATGCAATGCTAACGAAATGGTAGATGATAAGATTCATAACTAACCCCTTAATTATTGTTGATGGAAAGATATAGGTGTTTCGTGTTTAATTCATATAAACTAATTCAAATTTAACTTACTCTGATTATTATTCTTGATTTTCACCCTTATATTTACACATTACACTTGAATATATTTGAATTATTATTTATTTATAATTTAAGGTAAAGAGAACAACGCAACATGATAAACTTAATTTTCAAGTACAACAAGTCAAGGACTCATACTTTCTTCTTTAATGGTGAAATCAGGACCCAACATGATTATTGAGCCCTATTTGATAATTAGCCGGTAGCTATATATATTAACTAATTTGACTAGCATGATGTATATAGCTTGTTGTGTAAAAATATTTGGTAAAAAGTGGTCAATTGTTAGCTGTTTTACTATATGTAATAATCTAATAAAATAAAATATTCAATAAGCTAGTTTCAAAAAGAGCTTTTCAAAACCTTAAAAAGATTTTTCAATAAGTTATTTATCAAACACCCCAATTAAATTTTTCAAAAATTGTTTGTGTGCAACGAATTCATTGATTTTTTTTTATCCGATTTGATCCAATTTTTTTTATTCGACCGTTCGATCTATGATTTCTCATTCATGAACGTTGATAAGAACCTCCCATTTATATTTAGTAGCACCTTAGGATGGCATAACCTTAAAGTTAAGAGCGAGGTTGAAACGAGGAAACGCTTATGATCCTTTGGGCAAGAAACAATTTGAGTTTCTCCTTCGCAAGTTGGAGCTGAGGTAAGGAGGCCCAACTTGAAAGAGAGGTTCTTGTGTTGATGCTCACTAAGTGACTTGGTCATCAAATCTTCCAATTGCATGGTCAAACCTATAATAGTACCCATAAGTTATATTCAAGACTCTTATAAAAGGATTAAAAGCTCTTTAACAAACCCTTAAAACAAATTGTTTTTTTTTTTAAAAAAAAAAAACCCTTAAAACAAATTTTATTCTATTAAAAAAAAAAATAATAAAAAAAAAAAATCTGATACTAAAACTCAAACGAACAAAAACCAATTCACAACATTCAGAAACCCATGAATCCAGTCCACAAAAATAAGCCCAAAAAACCCAAATAAAAAACTAGGGCAAAAACCACAAACCCTAACCCATGACTCCTCACATAAAACCCTAACTCCCCCTACTTTCCCCCATTTCATTCCCACCGCATTCATTTGCAGTCTCCCCCAAAAACCCCTCATTTTCTCTCTCCGCCGCCATGGGAAGAGTGATCCGAGCTCAACGTAAGGGAGCAGGCTCCGTCTTCAAAGCCCACACCCACCACCGCAAAGGTCCCGCCAAGTTCCGAACCCTCGACTTCGGCGAGCGCAATGGCTACCTCAAGGGTGTAATCACCGAGGTCATCCATGACCCTGGTCGTGGTGCTCCTCTTGCTCGCGTCACTTTCCGACACCCTTTCAGGTACAAGCATCAGAAAGAGCTCTTCGTTGCTGCTGAGGGTATGTACACCGGTCAATTCATCTATTGTGGGAAGAAAGCTAATCTTATGGTTGGGAATGTTCTTCCTTTGAGATCTATTCCTGAAGGTGCTGTTGTTTGTAATGTTGAACATCATGTTGGTGATCGTGGTGTTCTTGCTCGTGCTTCTGGTGATTATGCTATTGTTATCTCTCACAACCCTGATAATGATACTTCTAGGTATTTTTCTCTTTCTTCTCTGTTTTGTTTTGTTTTCTGCGATTTTGATTTGTAATACTTGTTTGTTCTATGATTTTTGGATGGTTTATGAGTTTTGTGTGTTGGAAATGTATATTTGAGTTGGGTTTTTGATTTTGGGATTGAAAAATGGGATCTTGTTGTATGATTTATTTATGTTTTGGTTTAATGTTTTGGATTTCAGTTGATATTTATGGTGATTATTGAGTTGGGTTTTGTTTAGGGATTGAAAAATTCGATCTTGTTATATGATTTCCTTGTGTCTTGGTTTATCAGTTTGGAATTTAGATGATGTTTTTAATAATTGGATATATTAATGACATTGTTTTTGTGGGTTTTGATTATGATGATACTTCTAATAAGATTGATTAAGAGGAATTATTTCTGTATAATTGATTAATGTGACTGTTTTTGAAATGACTAATTGTTTTGAGCTTAGAGTTATGTATTGATGAATTGCAGATGATAGAATAAATATGTTAAATAAACTTATTCAATGAGATTTGAATTTGGCCATGAAATTTTTTGAGAGAAATCTCTGTCATCATCTAGGTTTATTATGTATGTCATTTATGTGGAATGTAGATGTTGCGAAGGATTTAGGTTATATAGGTTGATATAATTATAAAATTTTTAATGGACTCACTAATCTCTGCAAGTACACATTTCAGTCCTTTAAATCATGTTCCTGAGGCATAGTATTCGATAATTTTGCCATTCGATTAGGTTTGTATTTTGTGTCATTGTGAAGCATGATGTATTGTGATGTGGATTAAGGAAGTGCAACTGAGCTTTTAGCATGATCTGTGGTAATTTTGATATTGAATTCTGTTTTTATGATCTTTGAGTGTGATTGTAATAGCTATTCCTTATTAACTGGAGCTGCCAATGAGCTTATATCAACTCTATTTATAAATTCTGATTAGACCTATTTAACGAATTCTATTCTGTGTTGTAGGATCAAGCTCCCATCTGGTTCCAAGAAGATTGTCCCAAGTGGTTGCCGTGCTATGATTGGTCAGGTTGCTGGTGGAGGTCGTACTGAGAAGCCTCTTCTTAAGGCTGGAAATGCATACCACAAGTACAGAGTGAAGAGGAACTGCTGGCCTAAGGTTCGTGGTGTTGCTATGAATCCAGTTGAGCATCCTCACGGAGGAGGTAACCACCAGCACATTGGTCATGCCAGTACTGTTCGTAGAGATGCACCACCAGGGCAGAAGGTTGGTCTTATTGCCGCCAGGAGGACTGGTCGTCTTCGTGGTCAAGCTGCCGCTAATCTTTCCAAGAGTGACAAGGCTTAATTTACTTGGGCATTTTATTGTCATTTTTGATGTCGTCGTTTTGTTTATTTAAAGTTTCAAGTACCTATTTTAAAGATTGCAGTGCTAAGAATATACTGAGTTTTGTTTGCAATATTAGGAATGGTTTTTTTTTTATCATGGTGACATTGGATCAATTTCACTGTGCTAGTTCTTTTTTAGCTTTCATCTGTTGAATCAGCCTAAGATTAGTAGATTATTTGTATGAATTGCCTTGATGATAGCCTAAGTTATACATCTTGAAGCTTAGTTAAAGAGAGAAATATGCCGACAAATCCTATCATGCTTATGATTATACGAAGCGATTGGTTTGGGGTGTGTTTATGGACGCCTGTAGTACAATGCTGGCTCATGTTGTATAGTTCATATAATTTTACACAGGTTAAGCTGGTAGGTAGGTCGAATGATCTAGTTTAGACTATAGAGACACTGTTAGGCAAGAGCGGCAAGACTAATCCACTGATTTTTGTGGAATGTTTTACAAGTATTTGTACCAGGTCACAGTGGCTATGATGAGGATAAACTGCGTAACTCAAACCTAGCTGGCTTAGTCTGAATTATCTCCTATCTTAAAAAAAATTCCAAATTTGACTTGTATTGAATGCCTAATTGAAATCCTGATACAAGGGCTTTTTGATAAAAACTTTTGGGAAGGGCTTCTTTTGTACTAGTATGCGCTGCTTGGACATCATGAACACCAAGAAGGCAAGAACTTGAATGAGATCACTTCAATAGAGTATGCCAGGAACTTGGTGTGTTGATTAAATTGAATTGCTGTTACCTGGTTATTACAAATTTTTATTTGAATTACATTATATTCTATTAGTTGCTTTAAGATTGACTTAAATGTTAAAAGTGTAATATTCATAGCTTCTTGTTTGATTCTATCCTTTGGAGAGAGTAATCAATATTGAGCATTCCATTTACCAATATAAGTCTTCTTATATTTTGGCATCAAACGTACATACATACATACACTAATATGTATAAGCAGTTACATACAAGGCAGGAAAAGGATGGACATGAGTTACAATTCTTTTGCTTGCAAAATGAGGGAACTCGAAGACGAGGAACCCTACTAATAACCTGCCATCAAGGTTTTGGTATTTGCAGATGAATGCCGCCATTTTGATCAACAATGAGAGCCTATTGAATGATTCTATCTTCTTGCAGAAGTTCGTATGGATCAATATATTGAGGGAGAGAAGCTGTAGTATCAGTCCCATCATGAACAAAAGTTGGCCCAAAGTACTGCATCAAGAATTAGACAGTAAAAGGGAGGAGAAAATGCAAAATTATATTCTATTGCATCCCAGCAAGTCATAAATCAAGGGACAAAATATTGACAAAGCATCTACAATTCACTCTTTCTGTAGTGATCTTAGTACACAAACACCTAGTATTTTATCTTAGTCTGCCATCATCACTTTATGCAAAGTAGCCAAATTGTTTAGACTTCAATGTCTGTAACCTAATTGTTCAGACTGACATTAAATAACCACATTCACCCACTAATTCCATGTTGGAATAATTTCCTCAATGAGAAAGCAAGCCACTTGAAAGCACGTGTCAAACAAGCTATTGCTCTGTTTTTCAGAAATATTAATCACATTCATCCCTTGTTCTATTAATATTTCATTGATTCTGCTCAGTTACGATAGTTTATCATTCTCAAAAGATAGAAACGTTAACAATGCATGGAAATTTTATTGCTAGAAAGGCTTACCAGATAGAGAGCAGCAAAAGAACCAACTGTCAAAATTATTAGAGGCCAAAATGCCAAGAAGAATGTTCCACCAAGTGTCAATAAAAGTTTAGCACGTGGAATTAAGCCCTGGATTAAAAAAAACGTAGAAAATATTAGTGATTAGGCAGACAAGTAAAGCAAGTACAGGAATGAAATTGGTGCACCTTAGTAAGAGATATAATTATGAATGAATCATTTCAACTAAGGCAAAATGTGTGGACACAGTTAAGAAGGGTAAGTAATAAGAAGAAACCAAGCAGAAAATGGCAAATACTGAAATTCACACTACACTAACTTATAACCACAGTAATTTGCTCCTCTGAGGTTACCTAGCTTGTGCCAAAGTCACTTTCAGACAAAATAATGTTAAGGTCATGTTTCTGACTTTGGGCATCAAATTGATGATACACAAAGAGGGGGCAAATACTATAACTATGTCGCCGCAATGTATACAAACAAATCTATTTCACACCATACACACACACACACACAAAATGCATATACACATACTGATACGCAGAGACAAAGAAGGGAAACCATGAGGACAGAAAAGCAGCTTAAAGAACAAAAGAGAGAGGCAGGGAGCAATTGAACAAAAAAGACAATAGATCGGTTGAAAAGCTTGGATTTTTCAAGAAGCAAAGCATCAAAAATAAATTATGGTTAACCTCAAGGCCTTCGCTGTTCAGTGCCATTGATTGCTCTCTTTGATTAGTCAAGCTTTTGTCTGAATCAGTCGCAACTGCATTCCTCTTTGAATACAACCTGTCAGATCCATCTTCTGTAATCTCTTCCTCAATTTTGCTCCTATTGCTCTCCTCAAGCAGTGATGTGGGTGTAATGCCTCGTCTTCGGAGCTCTTTCATAAACAAAGATTCAGGAGGTTCGTTGTCTACAAGGAATCATACACAGGGTTAAAAGAAAGCCTAATCATTTCAATCTGTAATTCTAGCTGAATGAAATCTGAAATCACTATAAAATATATAAAGTGCTCAAAGCAAAGTAAACAAATCAAACCTTGTGCTCCTCGTAAAAATATACTGAGTACTTAATATCTTTTGTAGCATTAGCACATCATTAAAAATGAAGTCACAATCCCCTTAAGCAACATTCCCATATCAAAATATTGTAACCATAAATTATAATGTTTTAAACAGTGAAAGCTTCCGCACGACCATGACCATTGGAAATATGCAGTTAACATATTTGAGGCATGACCTTACTATCAGTCTGTCACGAGACAGTAAATGCATCTAAACAACAATCGATTAACATAATTGGTTGGTGTTCTAAGACATTATATCAATTCACATCACCTTATTCAGCTTTTTCAGTGAGTGCATCTCATTCCCGTTGCTTCAGACTCAAATGAACTATTCATCATGATTCCAATCCAAAAAAATAGCAATTTCATGCACACATAAAATTAACATCATAAAACAGTTAGTTTACACTAACACACTCTTTTTCATCTTGAGATAATCAAACAATTCTCGTAAATTTTTAAGTAAACCCATTTAACTTAAACCATAAAAAACTTCAAATCACTCAACCCAAACTCACAAGTTCCAAACTTTGCTTACACGATCCTGAAAACAAGCTGGCATTGATTCCCCACATTATACATAGTATCTTACAGACAAATGTATCCCTTATTCTAATTAAATTATAAATTTATAATTATTAAATTCTGAATGACTGTCATTGTTCCAATTATCATATTGATATACTCCCTACGTCCCATAATACTTGGGACGTTGGGGTGGACACGTAGTTTAAGAAAATTACAAGTGGGTTCATTTAAAAAATTTGTTCATTATATAAAATATTTTCTTTCGTATTTTTATATTGTAAGAAAATAAAAAGTGGGGGAGATGGGTAGTGAGGAGAGAGAAAATGCAGGATTTAATTGGGTTTTGGGGCTTGTGGTGTCAAAAGAGAGTATAGGAAAATATTTTTTTTATCAGTGGTCTCATTCCATATTTAATAACGTGTCAAGTATTTTGGGACGGACGAAAATGATAACTGTAAGTATTATGGGACAGTGGGAGTACATGACACAATGCTCCACAAATAGGATGTATCCACTATTGCCCCATTTATTACCCTTTTCTTACCTAAATCCAGTAATCCACTATCATACATAACAACTGAAAGGATTATCATAAACAATTACTAACAAACAAATAAGCCAAACCCCTAATCCATCATAAAGTTTCAATCTTTTTGCCAAGAAACTGACTTATTAATTCAGGTTATATGAAGTCTATAACTAATTTAAGTACCCCTAGTCCCCTCGCCCCTGAGGCCCTGAATTAATAGTCATGTTGATAGTATTAGCATAGTTGGAAATAATAACATGACAACTAAATTTATAACCATTAGAACAATTCCCAAATCAATCTTATAAATTAATAATAAAAAAATAGTTAGGAAATCAAGAAAGGAAAGTAAGAGCTTACTGCTGCTGTTGCTAGGACGATCATCACCATCTTGTAATTTAGAAAAAACCCTTGAACTCCGGAATCCCCTTCTTTTTAACCGGGTAATCCCTATCCTCTGAACTCCGGAATCCAATTCAAACCTTGAAGAACTAGGGAAAGAAGAAATAGTAGGTTTCATCATTTGCATAGAAGCCATTGCCACCATTTTCTTCTTTCTAAAGATTCTCTCTTTTTCTAGATTACTCTTACTTTATGAACCAAACAAAGAAACAAACAAAGAAACGACAATCAAAGGGAATGGGAAACCAATTCCATTACGTAAAACAAAGGAAAGAAGAAATAAAGAGTTAAAGGGAATGATTCTCTTCCTAAGAGGTGGCCGACGACGTGTTATAGAGCGGAGTAAGGCGGAGTTTGTGGCGGCGCAATTTGTGTTACGGGTGGAATATTGTGCTAAGTAGGTAGCTTTTTTATGACCACGAGTTTTGGGTAATTGTTACCAAAAGAAATAAAAATATGTGATGTGTGTTAATATTGTCTTGTAATGAGTTTGGACCATATATACTTGTATATTTTTGGGTGAATTGGTATGATATTAGCCGTGTAGGTGGCGGTTGACGAAGGTGGTAGACAAAGATGACAAATAATATAAAACCAACTAAACAAAGCAAGACATGGAGGCAATGCGTGCACGGTTTTTTTTTTTTTTTTTTTTTTATACTTGGAAAATATTGATATGATATTGTTCGAGAAGGGTATTGGAGGTAAATTAAAAGTAATTGACATGTGAAATGAGGTATAGCCGTATAGGAATATGATTGATAAATAATTTCAAAATGTATTATTTGTATTTTATTGTTATCTTGAGGTAATGGTAGTTTTACGATGTGTTAATAGATTCTATATTAATTCATAAAACATTTAATAATGAAAAAAAAAAAAACCTAAATATTGGTTTTTGTAGCCTATGTATTAACTACAGTGGCAGATCCAGGATTTTATAGGTGTTGGGTCACCGTCACCCATCGACCACATATTAATCAA